TGTGTTGAGATCATCCCTCGAAATCTGGTCACACTCCACGTCCTCACATGGTTGTACTCGGAACACACTGCAAATAGAGCAGAGGTAAACTGAGTACTAAACAAAAAAGAAACAATATTTATGCATATGTGCGACTGTAGACATCAAAATGAAGAAATATTAAATTGATGCAAAACTGTTTTGTTTCATCTTTTGTACAATGTTAAGAAAATCAACCCCTCCCCCAAGTTTGTTTTTCATTTTTTATAAAATTACAATATAGCTTACCTGAGACCAGGTGTTTTTCTGAGAGCATAACCTTGGTGATGGGACTCCGGTGGACTGTGAACGTTTGGAATAATTGTGGACCATGTCCCACCGTCTCTGGGTGTTGTACAATAACCCTCACTGTACCAGAGCTTGTGCCATATGCAATCTCAATCCAATTGCCGCTCAAACCTGTAACCCACAAAAGTATTTTTAAAGTACAGGAAATAAACCATATAAGATTTATGAATTGTAGTTGGATATGTGGGGAATGTATAGTCACAATTGATAACGAGACCTACAAGCCATTAGGGTCATAGGAGCACCACAGTGGTGTTTCCTGAGCAAGATAGCCTGACTGAGCTCAACCCTCTCTGGGCTGGTTTTGAAGTTAGAGTTTTTCCTTCTCCTATCCAAGGCTATAGGAACAAATCTGTCCTGCTATTTACCTATAGCTGAGAGGAGAAGAGATGGATTTATACCTTTCCCAAGGGTATTAGTATGTAAGTGAATATAACAACCTCAATTAGAATTCATATTCATCTCTCCAATTCTTCAATCCAAGCTGCTACCCATTACTCCACCATGCCTTGTCCAATCTAAATGGCATGAGAGTGGAGACATAGGTGCTTAGTAATCTACACTTAAAATTGGCATGAATGGTAAATTGATCCAAGTTAAACTCTGGGACATCCAATATGCTAATTAGATGTTTCTCCATCACAATACGGGTGGGGTAATGGATAGCATGAGAAATCGGAGATCCAAGTTTGAATTCCAGTTGAGTTCATGGCATATATATATACACGGATACTCTTGTGAAATGTATGGATCTATTTTCTTTCCCCAGCAATGGTTTAAATAGTAGCACTTGTAAAGGGTGTTCTAATATCTTGGACCGATGTGAATTAAGTCTAATGATTTTTTTTTCTTTCAGATTTAACAACTTAAGTCTTTGGCAATTTCAACCATAGAAAGATTAACAATCAAACAACGTGTTAAAGTTATCGAAACCTATTATGGATATAGATCTTCAAACAGAAATGCATTTTGTGTACTTTGCGATTTTTTGGGTCAACATAATCGACCAACCAAGAGTGCAATTGAAAAAACTGTTCATAAATTCAAACAAACTGGGTCGGTGGCAGGTGTGAAAAAAAATCATTGTTATTCTCAAAAAAACAAAAAAATTCTTAATGCAATATTCACTTACAAAAATAAAAAAAAAATACTTTTTGAAAAAAAAGCTATCATTCTTCTAGCTTGTCTGCCATCCAAACCTAGAGTGCCAAGACTATCCTTAACTAATACAGCATTTTTTGTATTATTTCAAACTATTATTCTCATCTTAGTTGATATAGATGTTATTACAGACACAATGTTTCAACCAAGTACCTTCTGGTCATCATCAGGTGTCCATCTGTATCAACCAAGATGAGAACAATACTTCACAATAATACAAATATATTGACAATAACTCATCTCAAAAATGAAATACTAAATTATGAAAAATGGTATAAATCCACCATTATAACCAAATGTCAAAAACTATCTGACATCATATATAAAAGGCTCAAAAAACATACCATTAATGTCCTTTGGGATGTTGGCATAGTGGATATAGAAGTTGGTTATCTAGTGGGTTCAATCCTTGGATCTGGTAACGACACACCAATTCAGCAGAAACAAACAATAACTGATATCACAGGGACAAAATATCACAATCAACTGATCAATGAACACCTGATGATAACCAGAGGGTACTTGGTCAAAATATTGTGTCTATAATAAGATCTATATCAACCAAAAGGAGAACAATAGTTCAAAATAATACAAGAATAGTGACAATTACTCATCTCAGAAATAAAATACTATATAATACAGTATTTTTTTAGTAGAACTGAAAGCCAAATAGAATTGAACAAACAGATGGATTCATGGACATTAAGTTGAGGCAAAGAATTCTAGCATTTTTCTTTACAAAATATTCAGGATATTTTCTTTATATATATTCCTAACGTCATTCAGTTATTAATATATTTTTTCTTAGCTCCTTTATGATCTTGTATCATTTTTCATCTCAGATGTGCGGCCCATCATAAAAGAACGATGCTAATATTATTGTGATGAAATCTTTGATTTCTTGATCTTATTAGAATTGCTGACTAAATAATGAATGTTCCAAAAAGCAAATGATAGTTGTGAATGTGAATGATTTGAAGAATAAACAGCATGCAGAAGAACTTCCCATCCTAACTCAATCCTTGTTTGCTGTTTTGCATTTGCAATATTGAGTCCATTAGCTTCCTTCTTTTTTTGATCATTTTTCATTCCAATCATCATCCAAATTTACTGTAGTGTTATGTATTAACACTTTAACCAGGCACCAGCAATTAATAATAAAAAAAATAAAAAACCTCTTAGGATCCAACCAAACACCAACAAGAGCTTTATTTTTCTAGGAGATTTTTCTGAAGGTTAACATTTTGTAGAGTGTTTAGGACAAGCTATAATAAACTTTGTTTTTAGATTCATGTAATAAATCCATGTAACGCTTTTGTTTAAGTAGACCGACAAGGATTCATCCAGAAATAAAGACTGCCCTTGCAGAAATATCAGTTTTTATTGCAATCCATATGCTGAACCCATTCCAGTCAGTAGGTTTGACAAGTCTAACTATAAACTAAACAAATAGTAGTTTTTGGTAAACTGGATACTGTGAGTTCAATCCCACTATTTGGTAGTACATATACTACCCTAATATTTAAGTTACCACCAAGCCAGTTAAAAAATGTTGCATCCTTAAAGAAGGTTACAAACAGACAAAGGTGGTACTCGAGTGAAAGGAACAGCAAACTGGGTGTAGATGAAAGAAAGAGAGGTTTATTGTAAAAGAGAATACACTACTGAAAGACAAGGAATTGGTTAACAAGCTAGTAATTCCCAAAGCAAGTCCGCCAGGTATATCATGTGCTCTATATATATAGATATATATATCTACCGATATAGTCAGTCCAAATATGCGATAGGGAGTGTGGGATATTACATTACAACAAAAAACAAATTAGTAAATGGATATGTGCAGACATATAATCAAAACATTTGCTTTGCAATTTAGCCAACATAGTTGTTTTTTTTTGTTTAGTAATGTGTGTATATATATATATATATATTTTGATGATCGAGTGTCAAATGTCAACCTTTTTGAGAGATGCAAGATTGGTGCCATCGAGACCTTCATGATGCAATCAAAACTACATTGGGCTGACCATGTGGCAAGGATGAGTGATGAACACATACCAAAAGTTCTTTTCTACAGTGAACTCCATACTGGTCATAGAAATGTTGGTAGACTTTGGCTCAATTATAAAGAGCAACCTTTCTTGCATTAACATTCCATTCAAGAACTTTGAAGAGATAGCTATAAAGAGATCAGAGTATCGTTCTAGCTGCCATGCAGGAATAATGCACCATCAAGTAATAAGCATCATTCGACTATGTGAAATACAAAAGCAAAATAAGACTGCTAACAGTATTCCTGCTGCACTTGGATACAATACATTCTCCTATACTGTTGTAAGGTCTTTTGTGCAATTCTCAAGCTGCTCTCAAAAGTCATGCCCATCATAGGCATGCAGATAATTAGTTTGTGGCCGTTGGAACCTCATACGTCAAATTCGATGGGAGAGTCCATCATATATATATATATATATATATATATATATATATAAACAACAATAAAAAAATACAGTTATACCTAATGTTCCATAATTAATAACCTAATACTTAAGATACCACCAAGCTAGGTAAAAATCAAACTATTAATTACTAAATAAGAAAAATTAAATAATGTGTAAGTGAAGACATATAAATAAACATTTACTTTACCATTTAAGTATTAATTCAAAAATTTTAAACAATAAATAAATAAATAAAAAAATCAGAACACAGCTACAGGGTACAATGGGTAAATTGTCACCATTTTATATTTTTAATTTCAAGCATGTGTGCTGTTTTTTGGGGTTTTTTTTGTCAACTGCACAGTATAGTAGGGTCAGTTGGGCCCCATTTGAAAAAGAGCACCATGACAATGCACTCAGCCAGAAATTTGGAAACAGCATGCTGTATGGCTTGGCATTCATGTAGGAATCTCCAATACAAATCTCTCAGAGTGTTTGGGCATCAATCTGAAGACAAAGCAGAGGATTCAGAAAGAGTTGGGTGATTACGAATATACAGTAGCTTAGAAAAACTCACTCTGATAAGAAAAAAACTCCCAAATTTGTTGGTGAGGGCCTCAGACTCAACATGGAGGTCTACATCAAGCACCTTAAGGAGGTAGTGCTGCTCTGGGTGGCTGCTGGAAGACCCTATGTCTGGCAACAGGACTCTACACCATGTTACACAAACAGGAGAACCCAGTCATGACTGTCAAATAATTTCTGCAACCACATCACCCCTTTACATCTGGCTACCTAACTCTCCAAACTGCGACCCGCTTGATTATTATGAAAAAGATGAACTGATGCAAGGATTATAGCAACATTCAACAACTTAAAAAAGGAGACAATCCAGAAGAGGCTGGGGTTGAAGCCAATGGTGATTTTATTGAATAAATTTACTCTTTAGTATTTCAAGATATTTTTTGTAATTTTGGTAAATATATCTGTTAAAATGAAAATATCAATGTTATTTTCATTTTTGTATAATTTAGACGACAATTTATCCATCGCATCCTGTATAGTTCCCAAACTTAATAAAACTCCAGAATATTCATGAAAATGAATTACCCTTAAAACCCAAAAAGTTCTGTCTGTGATACCAGAAATGACATTGTTACATTATCTTTGCAGCTAATGTATCTAATAACAACATCTTTATTCTCAGCCAGATATCTTTTAGTTGAAATGTTTTGTCAGTTTTAACCTCCATTAGGCATTCCAACTGAAAAACCCCCAATTTATATGCAGAAGGACACAAATGCATGCTGGGATTTTTTCCTAGTCAATAACATAAGCCAGTTCTCAGTTTCATTTGACTCAGTCCCAGTGTGTCTCGTCTTGAAGTCAGAATGCTGTGTTTGCTTGCCTAAACTTGCTCTTGTTTGTCAATGCCAATTCTTAGTTTGTAAAGTTTTTTTCATATTACTGTTGCTTTGACTTATTACTGTAAATTTGCCTTGCACGCAATTGTTTGCTTGCTTTGTATTATTTTTGCCCTGTTCTTTTCTTTTGCTTGTTATTGCAAGCTTTGTCAATTCTTTTGGTTGGCAAAGTTCCATCATTTATTTTTTATATTTAACCATAGCCACTCACTCTACATGTTTCTTCTTTTTTTATCATTTCACCACAAGCAAGGCAATAAAGCCACTAAAATGCAAGGGGTTAATAAGTGTAAAATAATATTAGAAAAAGAAAATATTATTAAGGAGAAAGAACAATAAAAAATGAGGAATTAAGAAGATAGAAGATAACAATTGACATTGCATTTAAAGTTAATTAGAAAGCAAGAAAAGAGTTCCATACGTGAGGAGTGTCAGTGAAGAATCAAGTTTTAATATTTTTGTATAAAAAGGTGATCAAATGGACTTACTGGTTTTTGGTGTCAAATAAACACTTAGGGCAGTAACCATGTCATTATCAGGATCTTTGTAGAGTTCAGTGACTAGCAAGTCATTGTCTTTCATCCGCAGAGGAAACTTCTGCATATCTAGAAAAAAAAGAAAAAATTAAAAAATCCTGGGTTAATGGTTGATAAATTTCCTATTGCAAGGCAAATCTGTAACAGAATAAACATAAATAACTGTACAGTATACTATACTATAGTGTATATATATATATATATATATATATATATATATATATATATTCAAAACCTGCGGAGTGTTGTTTAGGGGCCTTCCTGAAATCAGCTCTTCAAAAAGCATGGTTGGTTCTGCACAAAGCCTTCACCACTATAATCAAATTATATGTACTGGTGTTTGGGCTGTCAATTCCTAGGAACTGAGCTGCTTGATCCTCATATGTCGAATATGACAGGAGAGTCCACCATATATATATATATATAATATAAACAAGCATGCCCACATGTTATTGGTGGTTTTAGTTTTATAGATAATATAATTATATATTAATAATAATTAATAATATAATTTTATATTATCTATAAAACTAAAACAACCAATAGCATATCTCTAAATAAAAACAAATGCCATGATGATAGTTGAGGACAACCAAAATCTCTCACCAGAATGCTATCAACTGGGATCCTACTTTAACAAACTGGACTCAAACATTAAGAAATTTGCGAGGAAGCAAGAAAAACTGAGAAAAAGATCACCAAACGGAAATGTTCCATAGTCTTTAATCACACATATTAATAATGACATGATGCCAAAATACACACACACGTGTGTGTATATATATATATATATATATATATATATATATAAAAATGAAAGATTTCTCAGAGTTAACCTGTAGAAAAAGACAATAGGTAAACTGTATTATTAGCCGATGCATTTCGTTCAATGTGGACATTTTCAAGGCAAAATCGAAATTAATTTATTAAAAACAAAGTAACTATTAACAACAAACCAAATGTCCTGAGCAACTAGGAGAATTTAGAAAATGCTATTGTATTCATGTTATTAACTGAAAATTACATCAAGTACTTTCACCTGTAGAAAAATAGTTGAATCTGTCAACACAACAATAAAAAGAATATAGCAGGACAGACTGGGTTCTATAGCCTTGGATGGCAACTGGTCTACTACAGAAAGAAATAGCAACCTACTGTGGGAAAGATACATGATCACCTACGCGTGTACCATGCATGATACATAACTGATTGACAGGTGGTATGAAACTGCAAGTAGCGGATACATTTTAAATATTTTCATGGTCTATGTTTTGATGAGTTTTACTCTTTGGTACCACAAATTTAAGCACAGTACTAGATTGGTAGTTAGGTCTTATCATTTTACAGTTGAAATGGTTAGACATTTGTTATATTCCCAGAGGGCGAAATGTGGTTGTGTGAAGAAAGATAAGATGGAACGAAAGGATAAACTGTTAACAAACTTTGTTAAATGAAATTCGGATGCTGAGTGAAGGTGCTGGATGTGTAATAAGAAAAGGTGGGCCTCAGAGATTTGTCCAGCTCACCTTGGTCTCATGTCCAAACTCTATACCCACAATGCCCTGTGTCTTAAAACAGGGGAAGTGACTTAAAAAAAAAAATTTTTTTTTTTTCATCCCTACATTATAAGGGGGATAACTTTGCTTAAACAAGAGCAACAGCTAAAATGGTTAGAACCTGTAACTCAAACAGAAAATAATGACATAAGACATTGACATTCCACACTATTTCAAACAGAATATTAAAAAGGAAGCGACCCAGCAATATTGTAAAGAGCAATAACAGCCACTCGACTTGAGAAATCTATTTTCCTGAAAAACTGCTTTGATAGAAATATTTTATAAATTTCAAGTTACACCAGCACTGGAGTCAATTGATGCCAAATATTTCCTTATCAGAAAATGGTTAATATTGCCATTATCATATATATAGTGGTGGAAAAAAATATTTGTACACAAACAAATTTTTTATTTATTGTATTTCCAACTAATGAATAAATGCTTTTCATATAATTAACTGTACACAGATGTATAATAACTAAATATGCATAGGAAACAGAAAAATCTTTGATTTAATAGAAATAAATATCATTTTAATGGATGAAAAAAGTATTCATACAATGCAAATTTCAGACTTCAAAAATTTTAAATTGTTTTAATAATCAATATTATTCACGTGTAATATTCTAGAATGTTCCAATAATGTTATCAGTAGTTATTTTTAGCCTTAAAAAATTACAAACAGCACATTCTGTAATTGATATTCGTGCAAGGTTATCATCATGGCAAGAGGTAAAGAATTGACATTCAAAAAAAGAACTGATTGTTTATTCATTAGTTGGAAATACAATAAATTAAAAATTTGTATATGTATGAATATTTGTTTCCCCACCCCTGTATGTTACTGGGTGTAACAGCAAAATTGTCCAAATCATATACCAGCATGTAATAATTGTCCATAAATGTTTAATATTTAAAAAATGCTAAACTGTATTCTTTTTTCCAGGTTTTCAGATAAGATGTTTAGCTATTTATTAAAGACATATTTTATGTTTAACGTTGTTATTTTATAGATACAAGTATTTAAGCAAATGCTCTGTTTATGATAAACAGTATTAAATAACATTTACGGCCTGAATGTCCGAGAAATTTTCATAGAAAATTTTCGTTCTTTGACAGGATTCGAACCTGCATCCTATACGGAACGTCATATACGCTGACGTGCCTTACCGCTTAGGCTACAAAGAAGCGTTCGGTAGACAAGGTCGAATTTACTGCTTATAAACTCCAATTTTCCATGAATCTCGTACATTCATAACTGCTCTGGCGTATCGAATGTAAACAAATGACGTCATATATTAAGAAATGGACAAGGTCCGACAATTTATTTATTAAAGACATATTTTATGTTTAACGTTGTTATTTTATAGATACAAGTATTTAAGCAAATGCTCTGTTTATGATAAACAGTATTAAATAACATTTACCGGCCTGAATGTCCGAGAAATTTTCATAGAAAATTTTTGTTCTTTGACAGGATTCGAACCTGCATCCTATACGGAACTGTCATATACGCTGACGTGCCTTACCGCTTAGGCTACAAAGAAGCGTTCGGTAGACAAGGTCGAATTTACTGCAATAAATAACAACGTTAAACATAAAATATGTCTTTAATAAATAAATTGTCGGACCTTGTCCATTTCTTAATATATGTTTAGCTATCTTAACACCATTTGTCACAAGAATCACTATAAAACCATTTGAGTTATTCAGTTAGAAAGAGAATTGGTTAAAATCATTTTGTGTCAGCCTCACTATATCTTCCCAACTAAGCAATGGTGAGACAAAAAAGATCATTCAAGCCTTCAATAATGGTACCAACATTCATACTTGGGCTTCATCTTCAAGAGAACGATGCATGTGTTTAAAAAGAGAGAACATTAGAGAGGGAAACTGGATCAGGATGTCAGTAAGGATCCAGTAAGATATCTTTAATCATTTCTAAGTTACAACAGTTCAAAGTTTAATCTAACAATTGAACAATTTTGCCGCTACACCCGTTATATATATTCCAGTCGAATCCATTACATTCACTTATGTGCTAATACCCTTGGGAAAGGTATTAATACTTTTCTTCTCCCTTCAGCTATGGGTAAATAGCAGGACAGACTGGGTTCTATAGCCTTGGATGGCAACTGGTCTAGAAGGACAACTCTGAATTCAAAACCTGCAGAGGGTCATTTGGGGACCTTGTGGCACACGGTGCACCAGGTCTCTGTATTCAGCTCTTCAAAAAATGTGGTTGGTTCTGCACAAAGCCTTCACCACTATAATCAAATCATATGCGCTGGTGTCTGGCTGTCGGCTCCTAGAAACTTAGCTACCTGACCCTCATATGTCAAATATGACAGGAGAGTCCACCACATATATGTGTGTGTGTGTACAGAAGAGATAATATACTTACCTATATAATAAATAGAACCATTCCTACAGCCAAGTAAAAGAAAACTTCCTGCTGTATCATAGCTGGTCACTGGAACAACATCTTGGATCTAGAAATGCAAATAATGTTAATATGAAATATTATGTTTTTTTTTTAATGCAAACATTTTTTGCATGTTATAAATAATATACAATTTATATAAATTTACATAATATAAATTCACTGGATTCTGCTGAAAAGTTTTAGAAATCTCGTTCACATACAACAATCCCCACCACACAGACATTCCAGTTTCTTCTAAAGTCTTCTTTAACTCTATACTGCATTTTGAAATTTTATTTACTAATTATTTATTTATTTCTTCTCAATAGGAGTAGATAGAAATTCAAAATAAATGAAATAACAAAACTGATTCTATAACATATTCCTACACATGTCTCCTAAAAGGGAAACTGTTATTTTGTTTATGTTTCATCATGAGATCTCTTGCAAATACTGATTTTTCTTCTCCTGTTCCTGTATCTAAACAATTACAACAGCCTGGTGCACTAATGACCATTTACTTATACTTCATCGACAATCACAAAATACTGCTGATAATGTATGATAATAGTACATCCACTTTTATTGAAAGTTTAACAAAAGATCAAGTTTGCTGGGAACGCAATCATAACTCATGTTTACATTTTCTCAGCTGAGCTTGCATGGATACAAGTGGATATCATTGATAGGAAATTATTCTTCAAGTAGGCAATTTATTATGAAGTTATGCCAGTAATATATAAGGTTGAGATGGTTTTATAATCAGTTTATTTGATAATGTGAATCTTTTCATGTTATTGGTTAGCACATTGAGGCCAAGGTTAGCCTACCGACAAACATCACAGAGTATATGAGTTAATGGCAATAAACATTTGTAGTGACGGCTCTTCCATGTTCCAATAACTCATAATGGATGACACTTTTCATACTTTCCCAAGCAAGGACTGTCCTGGGTTTAGAGTTGGCACTGATTTCTCATTAAGGGCAGGTCATCTTCCAGGGTAAGCCTTGCCAGGTATGTCACAGTCATTATTCTGAAACCTTTTAAGCCACAGCTGACATGTACAAACCTTCACTGCATCCATATACACAACACTAATTTTCTTAAAAAAAAAAAAAAAAAAAAGAAAGAAAGAAGGATGCCTCTGTAGCAGTGAAATTCATACAGTAAGTTTAATAAATTCTCCATAAGGTTAAACTCAGAAACAACATAGTGCCAGATAGAAGAGACGATGATAAACTAATTCTAGACATAGTTTCTTACCATTCAGCCTTGGTTCTGCTTTTTTTAGTTGACTCATAATTCATAGCAGTATAATATGTAATTACCTTTTGCTATGGTCCAGTTCCTTGTACCACAGTGATAGTCCAAGGTAGAACCAATAAAGAAGAATTCGAATACGGATATGGAATAACACAGATATATTACAAACAGGAATATATACAGAGAAGTAGAAAAGTGTTAGTACGAAAAATCAGGTTTAATAGTAATTGTCTGAACACGACTCTGTTTCGGACTGCCTCTGACTCAACTGACTCACTCGCTCTGACAGACTCCTGACGGACCTCACTCCAGACTTCAGACTGAACTCTAGACTTCAGACGGAACCCTCTGCTTCCTCTTGAGGTGCAGTATAATAAATACTGCACCTCAAGAGGAAGCAGAAGAATGGAATAGTCCATTATGTTATTATGGGTAAGGTCCCATAACACTTTTCAAATACTCAACTATATAATTCTCTGTTGACATGTAAAACCCATTTTTCATCATCTGTGACAATGCAATGCAAAAATGTAAGGTTCACATTCTTGGTTCACATTCTTGGTTAAAAGACTGGTTAAAAGTTGGCATTCCTGATTAAAAAAAACTGGTTAAATATTCCACCACCTACAACTGTGTTTCAGTTCTTGAGAAAAAACAACTCATATTTGCGTGTATAAGCATTTACTTGATTCAGGGATCGGTAAATATGTACATTATTTACATTATTTGGACTATTGTCCTCATCTTTGTCGCCATATTTATCACAATGTTTCGGCCGTTATATGCTCCAGCCTTCTTCAGGTGGTTGGAATTTCGAACTGAACCCTTTATTTCGCTCACTGGGGTAGACTGTTCTAGTTCCAAGTGCCATGTTTGATGGATGTCAGTTATCAATTATCTCCTGCTAATTTCCCTCTGAAAGTTCTCCACTACCTTAACCGGGTATTGAACTCACACTCTTTGGGTCCTGTCACTGGATCTAACCAACGCCTTTATCCACTGTGCCATGTGTCCTTGAGAACACATGGCACAGTTGATAAATATGTGATAAATATGGCGACAAAGATGAGGACAATAGTCCGAATAATGTAAATAATGTACATAGTACCTCACCTCAGAAATATAGACAGGTAAATATGTGTTATTCATACTATAAGCATTGATATGTCAGGTGGTCCCATTTGGAGAGGAGTCTTATTCTACAGGGGATGCAGTCTGTATATAATCCAGGCTTTGCCAACAGGGTAATACAGGTAGTCTATGGCATGTGGGACATATTTTTTGAGTTTATAGTGAAGAAAATGGCAATCTACCTTGTCAAAATAAAACAGTTTGTTGTATGTGTTATCTGCCAGTGAAAAAGAAAGGCTTGCATGACTTTTCACTTTGTATAGAGAATGTCATGCAAATTTCTGTACCTCCTCAGGCAATCACTGACTTTCCAACTTACATATGAGCAGAGTACACTCAACATCAGGATGTGATTTTTTGGATCAGTGTAGTGTATGTGTAAGAAAGACAGTTTTATGACCTACGACCTACACATTTGTGGCTTTTGACATGCAGATTTTTGTTTTTATTTTTGCCATTTTCTAGAACTCTTCACAGAATTATAATGTTACTGTGGTTAAAACTTCTAGAAACTTTTCTGGATGAGTTGTGGCAAAAAAAGAAAAATGACTATTAATAAAACTCATTTGTTATTATTTATTCACCCTTTTAAATAAGGATGGTGCGACTTTGAATAAATCAGCAAGCTGAGTTCAAATTCCAGTAGAGTTATGTTCACTTTTGCACAAATACCCTTGGGGAAGGCATGACTCTATTTCTGCTATCCCCCAGTTATGGGTTAAATAACATGGCAGAGTAGACTCACCAGCCATAGTGGGCAACCATCTTAAGAGAAGGAGAACTCTGAATTCAAAACTATATGTAGCCTTGGTAAAGCACATACAAAGGATTATGGAGACTTATGGTCATATCACATTGAAACAGTGGTACTCATAAGATTAAAAAAGTTAAGAAATGCTGAGCCTGATCAGTACCTATATGGATGACTGCTTGGGAATACCAGGTGCTGCAAGCGGAGTGTCATGGATAACAGTTCAGAATTGGAAACTGGAGAGACGAGTTCTAATTCCAGTCAAGTTTGTTATATTGACTTATGTGCAAATAACCTTGGGAAAGGTATGAATACATATGAAATGTTGTGAGAATAACAACAAAGATGAGGATAATAATCTGTATGTAAATAACATAAAGAGTTGAATCATCCTCATTTCTCTTGTATTCTAATAGCAGGGAGGAAGTTTCACTCAGACAGACTTATCCAAGAACTGCTACTTTGTAGAACAGACTTCCACATAGACGAATCCCTGAAGCCTACAATCAGAACCTCTTCAAGTTAAGGGTCAATCGTTATCTATCCTACTTATAGTCTTCACATCATATCACCTCATCTTTCATTCCTATCACACACCTCAATCAGTAACCCTCTACCTTGAGTTGCTCTCGAGGATTGTATTGGGGAAATTTCAATGAATGAAAAACTTTGCCACACCTTATATACAATTGTTTAGTACTCAGTAACATGATTTTATGAGTGAAGTTAAATTTTGTTCAAGCACATACCTGCCAGTGTTGGGTCATAGCATGCCACACGCCTACTTTGCCTGTCTGGCTGAGGGCCACAAGTTGACTCCCAATGAAAAAAAGTGAATCCACAGATACATTCAAATTGAATAACCCTGAAAAAGAAGCAAAACATTTTATAGAAATTTGGTAAAGAAATAACAAACATCTCTTTTATTGTTAATGCACATAAACAATTTGTTTTTAGTAAATCCTGGTAGCATCAGAGGCGAAAGATTAAATGCCAATAACACATTTCTAAAAAAACCATATTTCAATTTGTATTTAATCTTTCGTCTCTGATGCTACCAGGATTTGCTAAAAACAAAATAATTTCCATGCCTGAAGATGACTGTATGTACAGTTGAAAGTACTAGCAGATTAAAAAAAAAAACCTTATACAGTTTGTAGTTATTAAAAAAAAGGATCATAACATTCATAGAGTGGTTCGTAGGTTGATGCAACTTTAAAATTTTGTTTGCGAAGAGATTTCGCCATTTTATATCACTAACTTTACTAATCTACTTTTTGTATGAATGATTCATTGTAATATAAATTGAACTGCACCATATATATATATATATATATATATATATATATATATATATATATATATATATATATATATATATATATATATGGTATCAAATGACAATTGGAAAAAAAAAAAAAATCTTACATCACCATTCGACGCGTTTCATCTTCTGACTTTTTCAAGGCAAAGATGAAATAAAAATATTTTTGTTGTTATAGTTACATTAAAATCCAAATTTAAAAAGATAGACACTTCTGTCTCAACCTTTTTTCTTAATAATAAATGTAAATTAGCTTTATAGTAAGGGATTATTATTTTTTTTTTTTTCCTTGTCGACAATATAATTAAATTCCCAGATGAATTCTGTGGACAAGACAGATTGGTATCAAATGACAATTGGAAAAAAATCTTACATTTTGCCAACGCGTTTCGTCTTCCAACTTTTACATTAACCAGAAAAAAAAAGGCTGAGACAGAAGCGTCTATCTTTTTAAATTTGGATTTTTAATGTAACTATAACAACAAAAACATTTCGATTTCATCTTTGCCTTGAAAAAGTCGGAAGACGAAACGCGTCAGCAAAATGTAAGATTTTTTTCCAATTGTCATTTGATACCAATCTGTCTTGTCCACAGAATTCATCTGGGAATTTAACTATATATAATTTTAGAACACTCAAAAATAAATGATGACAACATGTCTAGAAAACTAGAAGCCAAATGGTAACAATTGAAAGAAAAGAGGAAAAAGAGAGAAAACTTTAAAGAGTGAGTGAAAAAGAAAAAAAAAACAACAACAAAGATAAATAATCACAACATTCTACATGTATATACATAGACGCAGTCATGTGCATGTGTGTGAATGTATGCACGCACACATATACTATAAAAAAATAAGTCGCACCAGTGAAAAGTGCATATAAAAAAAAAAAAAATTAAGAAATATAAGCAGTCAATTGCTGATATCCCCTGATGAGTGGATGGTGTAATTCCCAGAGTGTCCCTCTACTAAACTCTGGAGTTAGGATGCTGAAGGTAACATAAATCAACTAAGTGACAAACGTTTTACTTATATTAATTATATCATAGAAAAAAAATATAAAAGTGGACACTGAGTTTAAACTAAGCAGCAATAGTATTTCATGCTTGAATGTAATCTTCAGGCTATAAGATTGCATTCAAATATGAAATAGATTGTCTGCACTTGGTGTTGACCTCACTATCCACTTATATTTACATACATTCTATCTCCAATATTGAGTACTTTTATCCATGAATATTAGCATACCTTAGAACTATATTTTTATCATTATTTTATATATTTCAGGCAGCTGGAGCTTGACAGCCAAGAAAGGTAGTCCACCTAGGGGAAGAAAAATACTTATTTTAAACCTCTAGTGTCTTGTGGTCATATCCAAAACACAGAAAAGGCTATGGAAGTAAATCCAGACAGGAAGTCCGAAGGTGGTTGGCTGTCAACACCGATAACTTTCTAACAACCTGAGGCAAGCAGTCCCAAAATATTATGGATCTTGCCATTAGAGCTGAGATGGGGGCCATTTAGTCCCTGGACAATGGAAGCTTAGAGGTAGAATTTTGGCCTTGCCTGATTGACTGGTTCTCTCTGTAGCTCAGTTGGTTAGAGCGTGCTGGGTTTAACAGTTCAAATGTTTATATGTATGTATATATGCATTCAAATGACAAAATTTTGGAAAAAAAATTTCCTAACACAATTTGTCCTCAGAAATAATAACAACATTAAACTTTTTTGCAAAAAAATGTTCCCAATAATATACAGGAGAGACATTTGGTTGTCAAACAAGACTAAAGAGTAAGTCTACCCTGGTATTGAAGCTTTTAATGCTCATTGTTCCACTAGCAGAATATATTTTAAAAGATGTTTTTTATTACCAGACAAGCATTAACTTTTATTATTTTATTGATAATATACATGTACAAGAGGAAAATACACTTAATATTCTTATGTTATCAAAAAATCTTTAAATTATTTTCTGTTGTCCTCATCTTTAATGTTATTATCAGAATGTTTCAGCCATCGTCAGCTGTTTGCAATCCAGGTAAACATCAGAGAATTTTGAACTAAACCCTTTATTCAGTATACAGTATTGTTCTTGTTCTGCTGATCTTGTTTTAAGATATCAAATTTTTATTTGGTACTACTCAGTTGTAAATGAAGGTAAGAGAACACAAAAGCTGAAACTTTTTAATAACAAAAACGAACATGACATGTAAATAACGATAACTTCTCATCCCAGAAATTCAGTTTTAAAATGTTTACCATTAGTTGAACAATAAGCAAAAAAGGTTCATCTATAGCTGGTTGGGAGAAAAAAATGAATTCATGCCTTCCCACTATTCCACAACTCCAAAGGCATTCATGCAAAAGTGAATACAACAGTCTTGCTGAGATTTGAACTCAGTACCCTGATCCCACTTTCTACAACATTAACCATCACACTATGTGCATATTGACATAATTCCGTAAGAAAATCCAAGAAGAACACATGATTTTTACCAACTTCTCTACTGGAACCATCCTGATTTACCATCCAGAGTCGAATGAGATTACCAGATGAAGCAGCCACCATCTTCTTGGTGTTGTCTGTATTTGCATTGACCACTTTGGCATTAATGGCTACACGGTCAACAGGTGTTTCCATATAAGGACTGGTCCAGATCAGGTGCCAACCAGTGGAGTCTTTCATCCTGTCATAAAGTGAAAAAAAAAAATCTTTCACAAGAGTTATAAAAATATTAATATTATATATGTTTTTAATCATTTCACCCAAAGCAAGGCCACAAGTACTCAGGAGGTTACAGAGAGTAAAGGTGTGAGAAAAGGCTGAGTATAGGGGAGATTGAGGAGAGTATAGGGGAGATTGAGGAAAGCATAAAAGATGAACAGGATTCCTGAAGATAGAAGATGATGACTGATACTGTATCTAAATTTTTGAAGATTGTAGTTTTCAGGAATGCAAGTAAACAGAAGGGAGTTCCACAGGCGGGAAGTGCGTAATGAGTTGGTTGGTCAACTTGACACCCCCAAAGCGAGTGGAGGTGGGCAGGCGCAGGAACTGTGATTGGTAGCTGGCTTATTAGTGTTTTGCATAGGCGAGTCACCAAGCTCTATGTAAAGGGCTGGAATAAGAAGGAGGACAGTTTTTGTCTCAGAAGTGGAGACTGTGCCCATCGCGATGACAGCAGGAGAGAAAGAGATGAAATCATTTATTTTTTCGTGACACATTCCAACACAAAGTGCAAGAAAAGAAAGTGTTGAAGTAGAAGTAGCAGTTACATTTAATTATTTCAACAGTAAAGAGTTTGAAGTTATAAGAGGTAAGATGCTTAACCACTTCAGCATATTTTAAAGCCTCAAATACTTTGCTGAAAAGCAATAGGAGACTAATAGGGTGTAGTTCAAAGCGCCAGAAGGTTCTCTAGAGTTCTTAAAAACAGAAACTACAGCAAAAGACTACCAACAAGCTGAAAAGAAGGAAGCAATGAGCCAATAGTTGTAGAGTTTGAAGAGAACTGGAGCCAGCTTGTGAGCACATTTATTTAGGATGATGGCTGGGATCCGTCACCTCTGCTTGCTTTATGGAAGTCTAATTTAGAAAGGATATCCGAGACCAATGATGGCATTATGCGCATATCACACAATAGAGCCTCAGTTCTAGTCGAGAAATTACCTGAAGCACCCCGAGTACGAAGAGACATTACCACCATCCACACACACAACACAAAAAAAATCTATGATGGCACCACTATTAAGGTCTGAGAAAAGGAAAAAAAGCAGAAACCCCTTCCTCAACAGGAAACAAGGGACAAACTTCTCAAGAGAAGTGGGAAGAAGTATGGATTGGACAATATATATAATATAAAACACAATGTTGCTGTATTGGTTATGCATCCTCATCTGCTCAACTTGACATAAATTTAGTACTGTGCTTAAATTCATAAAGTTTTGATTGTGTAGAGGAGATCTCATCAGAACAATGACCGTGGAAGCATTTATCGAAAAGGTAGAGAGAAGCTACATTATGGCAGTGCGAAAGTGACTGAAGATGTGATGCTAGGTCAGCAATAATATTGCTGATTCTTCTTTGGATATTATCAAGAATCTCTAAATATTCAACAGGAGCACTGGAACAGATATGGCAGCAATATTCAAACCATGGACAAATGGTAGACTTATAAATATGCAAAATAGATTCTGGCAAGAAAAATTGTCTTGCATCACATAATAAACTGACTTTCTTAGCAGCAGATCTAGCAATAGATTCAATGTCGTCTTTCCATTTCATATCAGCAGAGAATGTTACACAACAATTCACTCTCATGGAGGTTAGCATCAGCCATGCTGATGGGAGACATAAAGGGGTCTTTCAGGTGATTATATATTTGTTTCTTTAAATTTTGGGATGTTTTGCTGATGTATTTTTGGGGGCATTATTAAATCCTATTTAGGAGAGTCATGCGTGTGATATAAATTTAGTTGTTTAATTAAACTTTTTTATTGTTTTAGATATGTTTGTGATGGTTTATATATACAAATTAGCTAAATTTCTCTCAAGTTTATTAACTATAGAAATTGTAGGAAATATAATGTGCTTCATTTGTTTTTATACATTTTTGGTTTTTTTGTTCTGCTGATTTTGTATGCTTTATGTTTAGCATTATATATGAAATAATTGGGGTAGTGGACAGATACAAACAAAATCAACCTCTATGGGTTATTGTTTATTTAATAGTTAAATGTTATTTTGAAGCTGCTTGGCATATGAACAAATTTTTTTGGTTTCCGTAGAGGGATCAATTTACAATGAATTTACATAGTAAGCTGAACTGCCTCTTAAAATCTATAAATTTAATTAATTTTTTTTTATATTCATAAGCTGTAGTGCTTGACCTATTGTAATATGAAAAAAAAGAGTTTGAAAAAAAATGATTATTTCTATTCACAGTGCCTACTGAACAACTGCACCAACAAAAAAGCAGTTCTTACCGAAAACAGCTGATGAAATGTAAATATGCTGTACAGATCCAATTATGGTGACCTCTCAGCATGGTCACTCGGAGGGGTTCAGTGCATGTTTGGCCTAAGGAAAAGAAGAAAAAGAAATAAAAGTTAAACATTTCAAATAAACATCATTATATTAATAACCTAGTACTGTGTTTATCAACCGATGTTTCCCAGAATACTAGGGTTCTACAAGAAGTCGCTAGGCGTCCAACAAAAAGTCGCTAAGGGTCCCACAAGAAGTTGCTAGGGGTTCCACAAGAAGTCGCTAGGGGTTCCACAAGAAACAGTAATAAATAGGCCAATGCATTTCAAGTAATTTTTGTTTAAGTTTATATTTGCAATTTTACTCTATGCATATGTGATATTGTTGGAAAATCCTTGGTTATTATAATACAGGCTTCAACTTCTTATATTATTTAAAATTCTAATAATTATAGGGAATGTGTTTAGCGATGACTGTAAGGTATCAGTGTGAAACCGTGTTCATTGGTTAGTGAACAGACCTGGACGGGGCAGACTTGTGTATCCCTGAGTGGCTCACTCAAGAACAGGATGTTTGCCATATGAACTATGATGAAAATATAAAAGAGATAGATGCAAGGGCTCCCTGAGACATGAAAACTATTTCAAGGGTTCAACAAGGATAAAACGGTTGGAAAATGCTCCCCTAATATCTACCTGCCTACATTTTTACATAATTTGTAAGTCAGGCTCAAGAATAAAAATAAAGCTTCAAATATAAAAATGACCAAAGTTACAATAAGTTCTGAATTTTTTTTTATTTTAGGAGATTTTAAAGTTAGTCATGTGTATCTCTTTTTCTTTAAATAATGAATAAAATAAATGGAAATTTGTTGAACGTTGCAACCTGATGTAGAAAATTAAGGAAACAAGAAAGAATTTCCTCAGTCCTAAATGTACCAAATATAAGACAGCAAAAAGGAAACTTATACTTAACATCAGGAAGAGACAGTTGAAATTTCTAGGGCATATCATGAGGAAAGAGGGCTTGGAGAATTTGATACGCATAGGACAGATTGAAGGCAAGGGGGATAGAGGAAATCAACACATAAACTGTCTAGTGAGCTTGAGTAAATGGATGACAGAACAGGGATTAGGAAAGAACAATAAATCCAAACTTATTAAGTGAAACAAAGGACAGCCATAGTCACCCTACATTCTGAATGGATATGGAACAATAAAGAATTAGATTTTAGTTTTTCAAGAGTGTATTGACAGGAAAACAGACACCCACTACAAAAGGAATCCTGTAAAGTATTTGTTAAATTAGCTGTTTTCATTCATTGCTCTTTTTTTTTAATTTTGGAAGTTTCTCATTTAAGGAGTTAAATTTAAATTAAGTTTTGAAGAGTCTCTTGAGATATTTCTGGTTTTGCCACTTTTCTGGTTGTAGCCTTAATTCCTGGAAATGTTTAGGGTAAACTTCATACAGGGTGTTCAGTAATTAGTGTTACAAAGTTTTTTTACCTGTCTTTATTAAAACAATTTGTAAATACTTTACAAAGTGGAAACAAAAACTAAATGCTGATAAACTTATTTGACAAACTATTTACTCAATATTCCTGCCTCCTTCTGCATCAATAATTTGCTGAAGACACTTGGTGAATGACATGCATGAGGCACAGATAACACTTTGAGGGATTTTGTCCTATTCCTTCAAGATTTTTACTTTCAGAGTCTCCAAAATGTGGTGAGGTGTAGCAGAACCTTCTGGCACTTTGAACTACACCCTATTAGTCTCCTACTGCTTTTCAGCAAAATATTTGAGGCTTTAAACCTTCTTTTCTAAGATATCTCAGATGCTGTAGAGAAGAGGATTTGGGTTTGGGTATGATGGAAGACATTCTTTCTTTGAGGTGAAGTGAGGAATATGGGTTGCTAGCCACAAGAGAGGGTGCTGAATCTTGTTAGAATGACCAATGTCGGTTTTTTAATATGTTTGTCGGCAAAGTAAAAGCAATGACTCAAAAATGTTCTTCACATAATTTTCTCTGTTGAGTTTAACCCCTGGTTCTACAAAAACCAGAGTACTTTATCCTGTCACAACCACAGCAGTCCACAACATCACAGAGGCTGCTCCTTGTCTTCAATTAACAATGACTAGTTCAAGACCAAATCCAATTGTTCTGGTTGTTGAAATACTGTTCAACATCAAATTTTTTTCTCATCACTGAACAGAAGGTTCGGGAACATGCCTGCTTGAATGCGTTAGAGGAGAACTTGGCATCTGGTTTGTTGTTTCTCCACTGAGCTTACAGATAACATCAGTTTCTTTTCATGTTTGTAAGATGTCATAAACTCTTTATGGAGAATGATTGACATGGTTCCAATGGACACATTCACCTCTTCCACAAGATTTCTGAGAGACCACTTCGGATTTCTTTTCAGCTTCTCCCAGTTGGATTTACACAAGTTCTGGAGTTCAAATAGTTTGAATACATACACTTGCTTGTTCTTTACATTCCAAGTGTCATTGAAATGCCTTTTCTATAAAGATTTTCAAGGTAATTGTTGAAATGCCTTTTCTATAAAGATTTTCAAGGTAATTGTTTTTTATGAACTTTGCACTTTGGTACTTTAACTTTATAAATTTAAGTACAGTACTAGAATGGCAGCAAGAGATCATCCTTTTATAGTTGAAATGGCTAAATGTAACAGTAAGTTCTATTCTAAGAGTTACTTCTCTAGCACTTCTTGTTTCTGTATCTCTCTTCCAGCTTTTTTGCTTACCACTCAACTTTGATCTTCAAAAATTTAAATGTAATATCAATTGTTATGTCTTCTTAATTCCTATTCTTTCATTGTTCTTTCTCCTTAATAATGCTTTTTTTTTCTTCTCATATTCTCTCACACTCAGTAACCCTGTGTTTATTAGTGGCTTTCTTGCCTTTGTTTGTGATGAAATGATTAAAAAAATGAAAAATTCAAGTAGAATCTACAGTAGATGAGGTTACAAATGGTTTTTAATTTGTTTTATGGCATATGAACCTCAATGGGTTATTTAATGCCGACAAGATTTTTAGAGTAGGTTCGTATGAATAGAATATGTATTCTTTGTAAGATATCAGTTTGTAGATCAAGTTTCATTGACATATTTTTGTAAAGCAGGTTTTTGTTGAGAGTCTGGTTTATGATTTATTGCTGGTAATATTTTTTTTTCAAAAATTTATTGACGTAATTCTTTTTTTTTTCTTTTTTAAAAAAAAGAAAATATATTGCTGGTAATTTTTGTTTTTTTTTTCAAAAAGACTATATTGCTGGTAATTTTACAATAAAAATCTATTTTTAAACATTCATAGTGTTTTGACCCCCAATTTAGGAATTAACTATTTAACCATGGCTGGGACCTAAAAGGTGCTACCACCCCAGGTCAGCCTGGACCTGAGAATAACAGCAATTAAGAGGTGGTTCCACACTCCTCAAAACCTCCTGATCAGAGGCCTGGCTGCTGGATGTAGTTTATCATCATACCCAGGGAAAAATGCTATTGAAGAAGGGAATCTGGCTTATGGAAATGTAAGATTTTGGTAATAGGCTGATCCAATCAGTATATTTGTCACTATTTTTTTTTTTCGTTTTAATGTCTTTATGGATACTATCAAGAAAAAAAAAATGACACTCTTTTTATGCCCACTTGACAAAGACCCAAAAATGGATCAGATAAAATATTGTGGAAAAAAAAAAAAAAAAAAAGACCTGTATATTTAGAATCAGAAAGATGCAATTAAAATTTGGGGGACATATGAGAAAAGAAGGTTTAGAAAACCTGGCAGTCAGAGAAAATACCAAAGTGACAAATGGAAACATTAAGTAACATATCTAATGAGCTTGTTTAAATAAACAGAAGGACAGAAACTAGGAGGGATGTTAAAAAAAAATAAAATATCATTAAAAGCAACAAAGGAAAGGAATTTATGTGGAGCCATATTAAAGGGACACAGAGATGAAAATAGTCAAAAAAATTGATTGGAGTGGATGGTCTCGAGGATTTAACACAGTAAAAATACAACCTACAGCAGACAGCAAGTGCATCTTATAGTAATACTAATACTAGATATTTCCCTAAAAAGAAACATTTGGCATTCATTGACCGAGCAGCCAGTTCTACTTTTGGTTGCAATTTATAAAATCTTTTTCTTGAAACAATTTTTCAGGAAAACAGATTTTTCAAGTTCAGTAGCTGTTATTGCTTTTTTCAGTATTGACGGGGTTTTTCTTCCTAACATTTCATTTGAAGTAAAACAGAGCATTAAAATCTTCATTATGTCATTACTTTCTCCCCAAGTTATATGTGCCATCATTTTATTTGTTGTTGTTAGTCCTCAAGTGATGTGGTTTTTGTTATTTGGTACAGTAATTTAATTAGCTTATGAACTCATGCAAATATATGACAACAGATTTTTCGCCTCACCTGATGAGACATACTTAACCAAATTGATTTCTTCTTCACAGACCATCAAACTATTCAAATCACTGCTTCCTACCTGAATTGCATTTGTCGTTTCCTGTCTGGCGAGAGTCTGAGGTAGAATCTTCTGTGGGCTGTGCAGAAGGGTCATCAGGAATAGAATGTCTGCGGTGGCTAAAGCTAGAGTCCATAGAGAGACGTCTGCAATTAAAGAGATTCTATGATAAATAAGAAAGCCAAGAGAAAACTGAAAATAACATTTACACTATTTACAGGGCGCGATGGATAAATTGTCGCCATTTTATATTTTCAATTTTGCACATGTGCGTTGTTTTTTCATTTTGTTGACTGCACAGTATAGTCGGATCAGTGGGGCACCATCTGTGAGAAAAAGAGCACCATGATGCAATTCGCTCCACCAGAAATTTGGAAACAGCATGCTGTACTGCTTGGCATTCGCATGAGAAGCTCCAATACAAACATTTCACAGTGTTTGGGTCTCAATGTGAGCAAAGTGCAGAGAATTCGGAAAGACTTGGACGAGTCTAATAGTGATTACAAATGTATGACAGTTCAGAAAATTCACTATAATCATTCTGATAAAAAAAGAAATGCTGAATTTGTTGGTGAGAGCTTAACATAGAAGCCTACATCAAGTGCCTTGAGGAGGTAGTACTGCCCTGGGTCAACAGGGTGGCTGCTAGAAGACCCTATGCGTGGCAACAAGACTCTGCACCATGCTACACAAGAAGAAGAATTGTCATGGCTGTCAGACTATTTCTGCAACCACATCACCCCTTATATCTGGCCGCCTAACTCAGACAGCAACTCCCTTAATTATTATGTGTGGGGCGCAGTTGAGCAAGAGAGCAACAAAACTCCTTGTAACACCAAAAATGAACTGAAGGCAAAGATTATGGCAGCATTCACCAACTTAAACATGGAGACCATCCAGTATAGTTGCAGGAGATTCCGATGTCATCTGGTTGACGCCAATGGTGATTTTATTGAATAAATTTACTCTTTAGTTTTTCAAGATATTTTCTGTGTAATTTTGGTAAATATATCTCTTAAAATGAGATGTCAATGTTACTTTCATTTTTGCATAATTTAGATGACAATTTACCATAATTCCCCATGTATAATAATGCCTTCATCCATAATATGCACGTCTAAAATTGTGTTGAAACACCCCTTGTTTGGTAATGAAACCTTATAAATTGTACCTCCCCAATTTCATTACAGCCAGCATTTCCTACTCTTATTAAAAGAAAATGGTTTTAAACATAGAATAATATTATTCTAATTTAGTTTATTTTACATTTGTAAGTATCGTTAGGTACATATGATTGTATTTGACATACTTATGAGGTCGTAATTGCTGAATGTTAGTGTCAAATTGTTATGTTTGGGGTGAGTAGTCATTTTGCAACAGAAATCGACCTATCAAACGGCAATTTTTAAAGATTTTTTTTGTAGCTGTACATAATACGCACCCCTAATTTTGCTTATTATTTTTTAGAAAAAAATGCATATTATACATGAGCAATTATAGTATCCATCACACTCTATACATTGTTCAGAATGTTATTCTCATCTTTACTGTCACATTCACAACATTTCAGCCGTTGTACACTCCAGCCATCTTCAGGTGATATTTGTTGACCAAAACATTGTGAATGTGACAGTAAAGATTATGACAACAGTCCAAACAATGTAGATAGTGTAAATTATTACAATCATCTTAGAAATATAGACAGATGTTGAAAATAACATATATGAAAAAAAATTGCTGAAAATGGATACTTTATTGAGGTTGATATCCCGATTCCAAGCAATAGCAAAAAAAAAAAATAAAAAAAAAAAAATGCTGGTTTCATTTAAAACTAATATTGTTAAGTTTAGTTTTAGTAAGAATCTTAATTTACAAAAGGAAAAGAAAAATCTATTTACTCCCCCCACCACCTTCCAATTGTATTAGAATGTGCCAGCCAAAATTTAAAATTGGAACATTGGCATTTCACACATTAATTTCAATATTTCAGTCATTAATGACATTATCATTTCAACGCACCTATTGTGTGTGGGGGGATTTAAAGGTCCTGTGTCTCTGGATCCCAAACTGGGAGAATGAGGAATGTCAGATCCTGTAGCACCCTCTTCTGAGTGATTTTGGACTGGAGGGCAAGGTGGCACTGGAAGTAAAAAAATATTTGGACACTATAAGCATATGCACATAAATTCAAACAGTAATAAATAAAAATTTAATTATAAACCTAACCTCCTACAACTAATACACTAATAGTATTTAAGATACCACCAAACCAAATAAGAAAACAAAATAATGACCAAGTGAAGACATACATAAATATTTAGTTTATCATTTAAGCATTAAAATTAATTATTTATGTGAAAAAAATGAAATGCAATTTTCCTAACTCAAGAAAAGAATAGAACATTCAAAAATAATAAATGACAGCCTGCCTAGAAAAATTAGAAGTCAAATGGCCGCAACTGAAAAAAAAAGAGAAAAAAAAAGAAGTGTAAATTGGAGAGAAAAAAAAAAGCAACGTAAAGGAGAAATAATTATGACATCCTGCGCATGCACACAAAGAAAAAAATTTAAAAAATCTTGCACCAATTATAAGTGCATATAAAAAAGAAAAATTGAGAAGTATAAGCAGTCAATTGCTGATACCCACTAACAAGTTGACAGATCGGTCCACCTATGAAACTCTGGAGTTGAGAGGCTGAAGGTAACATCACTCAGTTAAGTGACAGACCTTTTACTTGTATTAATTCATTCATTCTCTCTCTCTCTCTATATATATATATATACCTTAAAACTCAGGAAGTCAGTTGAACCTGCTACATTGGTTTCAACCTTAATGTATCGTCAGGCGATTTTTATCAAATGACCACCTAATGTTTTTTTATTTATTTTTTTTTTTTATTTATGTCTTAAAATAATAATGTAGCATTCTTAGTATTTTTAAAAGGTAGCGGATTCAACTGACCTCCTGATTTTTAAAGTTAAAAGCTCTACATGTTATTTTTACCATTAACCTTTTCTGTATTATATATATATAATATTAATGGTAAATATACACATACATATGCAAAATATATAAATATATATACATAGGTGCATACACATACATGTATATGTTTTGAATAAAAATTCCAAGAGGATAGAATCCAGGTAGAACTCAATGTCCAGGACAGAGTAAGGATATATAAAAAGGCTTAAACATTAGATATTTATGGTCATAATTATTCCATTCCAATGGAATAAATTATGACCATGGAATATTAGTGTTTAAGCCTTTTTATTATATATATATATATATATATATGAATGAGAAAGGTGTATTCAGGCAGCAAGAACTCTTTTATACCAGTTTTTGTTGAACAATATTGACAAGGTTTGTCTATCCAAATTTTTATGATGTTTTCATTCAAATTTCTGACAGAATTGGTAAACTTTCCAAAGTTCATTTTTGTTTCTTACCCCAAAAACTTTTGAATATTGCGACATTTGCTGCAAAGGGTTTTGTTGTTTTGTCTGTTTATGAAACAGTTTTTATGGAACTGGCTAATTCCAGTATTTCTTCCTTTGCTGGAACCAATTCAAAGTCACTCAAGGTGATGTCATTTACAACAGTTAAGCTGAATTTTAAAAAATTTTTCTATACATACACTTCAATATACAATCTCCTTTGGAGAAAATATCACCCTCTCTCAATATATATATATATATATATATATATATATATATATATATATATATATATATATATATATATATACAAATAAAGAGAAAGAACAGAAGAATTAAGAATCCACAGTTCTAAACAATTACTTTAAAAAAAAAAAGTGCTCAATACAACAGAGCAAAATATTATTATAATATTTTACATTGCTATATATATATATATATATATATATATATAAAGCGAGAGAGAGTGAGGAAGAAAAGATGCTGTAATAAATTGATCCTTATGCTTTCTGTTTGAATTTCTGGGATGAGGAGTTATTTACATATGGGCCATTGTCCGCATCTTTGTTGTTATCACATTTCAAAACTCAAAAGAAGCATTGTGAGTAATAAATGAGCCATACTAAAATAGAAACTAGGAAAGATATCCCTAGACATGATCAGCAGAATGAGAATAAGATAAGCCTGTAGATTAAGTAAAGGGTTTAACCTGACTGCTGCCCACATCAACAAGCACCTGACAAAGGCTGGAGGGCACAATAGCTAAAACATTGTGATAATAACAACAAAGATGAGGACAACAGTCTGCTTGTAAATAATGTCAACAAAGATCCTTATTTTTCATAACAAATATGAAATTGTGAGGCACATTCAGAGATGAACATTTTTCAAAGTAAAAATATGACGGCTCAATAAAGAAAATTTCTGAAAATAAAATCTTTGGTTAGATTTTGGGAAATCGGTCAGGCTGAAAATTTCACACCATACTCTTATATTTTTCTTTTTATTTGTAAATGCCTTCAGGACACAGGCAATCACGGCTCTCCACAACCTCAATTTTACTTATTATCTGTGAATTGCCATGACTTCTTGGAAAAAATAGTGGAGTGCTTTTCTGTTGTCCCCTCCACAGTTTTGAATTCAAAGTAATCCATCTCCTAGACTGGCTGCCAGACAAGGGTAGGAAGGACTGTCTCCAGTACTATTTAACCCCTAGAAGGCATCTGTTAATAACACTAGTTGTTAACTTTTAATACCTGTTCATAATAGTAGTAGTAGTAGTAGCAACAGTAATATGTCACAATTTCACGGTTTAAAATGAGAATACCCACTCAAATAGGTTGGTTGGATGATTTTGTTTAGCAGAATACCAACCTCTATCAGTTATTTAATGCCAAAATCTAAATATTTTGAACACAATTTTATGTTTTCAACTACAGCTATTTTATACATAATTTTATACTTCCTGGGTAAATATGTGTTTTTTTTAGATATATAGTTTGTACATGATAAAAGGTATTGTTGGCAATTGTTTTTTTTTTATTTTATTGTTAGTAATTTTACTACAAAAATGTATTGAGGGTAATTTTACATTAAAAATTCATTTTTGTACTTTTTTAGTGCTGTATTGTCATATTGCTATATAAATATACTGCTGGTCATTTTACTATGTTGCTCAAAACCTCTAATCTCCTGTTCAGAGACCTTACTACCAGATGTAATTTATCATCATACCCAGGACTCAAATAAATGTACTCTCTAAAAATAACCATTATCATAAGAAATAATGTTAGATGAAAAAATCTATTTGAAAATGCACTGAGATGAAAGGAAAATGATAATTGATAACTGACAGATGATAATAAAAAGTTGTATTAAAGAACTAAACATTAATTATAAGACAGAATATATGGTTGTCAGCAAAAGGAACAAGCCAACATACAAATCATGAATTGGAGATGTCAAAATCAAGCAAGTACATTATTTTAAATATCATGGTAATTGTTCAAATGACCTTTTTGCTATAGTAGCAGGCTTTATGATTTTAGGCACAGTACTACATAATTAACAAGGTCATGTTAATTTACAGTTGAATTGGCTTGATGTTAACCATAAGTTTCATGCTAACAATTCCTTTTCTTGCCTGTCTCACTTGTGGACCTCTCTTCCGGCTTTTTGCTTTCCAGTCAAGTTTGATCTTTGAAAATTTAAATGCAATGTCAATCATTATCTACTGTCTTCTTGATTACTTTTCTATTGTTCTTACTCCTCAATAATGCTTCTGTTTACTAATTCTTTCACACTGAATAATCCCTTGTGTTTTAGCGGCTTTACTGCCTTGCTTGGGGTGATTTTGATTAAAAAAAATATTTGGGAAGTGTTTAAGCAGAAGAGGGAAATATGATGCCAAAATCCGAAGGCACATTAGAACAGCGAAAGATACCTTCCAAAAGCTAAGCAAAGTATTAAGAAATGGGAAAATTTCATTAGAAACAAAGAACCTTCTCTATGGCAGTGAATACTGGACGATCTTATCACAGATGAAGACGAGACTTGAGACAGCAGAAACATGGTTCTACAGAAGAATTAAACATGTGAGTAACAACAAAGTTTTAGGGAAAATGGAAAAAAATAGACCCACTATGCCATACATTTTGTACTGAACCACCCCCATTCCCTTTGTATTCCATGCATGAGATATAAATTCCACTCAAACAGATTCTTCTCATGAGCTGCTACTTTGCAGAACTGATTCTCAAGAGGATCATTCAGTGATTACTACAATCTTAACCTGCTCAAGTCTAGAGTTAACCATTATCTTCCCCACATATGCTCATAAACTGTGCCTCTTAACTCTTATTTTGTAACTCTCTACCTCGAGTGGCTCTTGGACCTTATACAGGGTGAACATTAAATTAAAAAAAAACAATAATCTGAAAGTAAGGGTCAATCATCCATGTACGCAGTCATACAGAGCTATGGAGAGTGACTTGCACACTGATGTAACAACAAAGAGATGGTGTATCAAGATCTATACTTACTTGGAGGGGCAAGATATGAGTGGAAAAGTAGCCCACCACATGTTGGGTGGTCGAGGTCCTCACATAACATTAGGAGTCGTACTGAAATAAGAAGAAAAATAGCCATAAGTTTTCAAAGATTGTTTAAAAGATACTCATATGTATGTACACACAAACACCTATCTTTCTGACTTAATACAAAAATAACAAAAATGAGAAAAGCTGCAGATAATTGCTGATACCTCCCGAAAAGTGGACCAATCAATTACACAAAGGAAACTCTGGAGGTGATATAACATCAATCAGCAAAGTGGCAAATTTTATATATATATATTATATATAATTATTTATTTAAAAAAATTTATAACATAAATATGTTATAAAATCACTACAAAAATAGCCATTTTGTTTCAACACTTTGCCTCAATTGGTTAATAACAGGTAATTGCTCATATCAGTGTATTTGTCAATCAATAAGACATTGGCAATGCTTTACTGATTAAGCAGGTTTCATATTTGGTTATCTTTGTTTATTACATTAGAGAAATTACACCCCTAGATTGAAATTCATCAGCTACAGACATAGAATGAATTTAAATAATATTCACACACTTTTCATTTGTTCTTTTTTGTCACTTTTTATTGAAAGTCATTACATTTTTCTTTATTAGCTGTGAAATGCCAGGCATTTTAGGAGAGATTTAATGGAATGTTTTCCCATTGCCTTTTTTAGAGTTTTGAATTCAGAGTAGTCATTTTCTGAGACTGGCTGCCAACCAAAGATAAAGAACACAGTTTACACTGTGACTTTCCCTAGGGCATCTGTGCAAAAGTGAATGCAAAAGATTCATGCAAAAATTTAACTTGTATCAACAATTACACATTTGCTTTCTTCATATAAAAAACCTGACCTTGTGTCATAAATTATCCTTGTGGTGAAGCAGTTAAATTATAACAATTTGTTTTTATAATAGTTTTAATCCATAAAATAATTTTTCAGTCTTTGTTAGTGAAAAGATTTATTTTTGTTTATGTAACATACTTTGTAAACAAAAATAAATCTTTTCAATAACCGAGACTTAAAAAAGTAAACCTTCTTTTAATGAAACTTTTTTTTGTTTTTTTACAAAATTTATGTATTTCTTAAGATTCTATAGCTTTCGAAATGGATTTTCATCCTTATTTACTTAAAAGAAATAAACAAGTTTTGAAACTTAACAAATCAAAAAAATATATTATTCTACCCACTAACTTTATCACAGCTTCAACCAAAAAGAATTTATCTAAACTCAACATAAAATTTGTCACAATTAACAACTAAAACAATCAGACTTAATCAATAAAAAACAAAACTAACCAACCAAAACTTAAAGCAGGAATTTACTCTATCAAATGCCAGAATTACCAGAATGCATACATTGAAGAAACCTCAAGAAGTCTAAACAAAAGACTATATGAACATAAAAGGGACATTTTAAATAAGAACAAACAAAATGCATTGGTTGTTTACTATAACAAAACGGACCACAATTTTGACAGAGGAAATGCTACTATGATTAAAAGAGAAAATAATCCATTGAGATAAAAATGTCTAGAAAGTGCCTTTATTGCTATAGTTCAGCCACAATAAATTTGCATCCAGCCTCTTACAATATATCACCATTCTTGTCATAGTGTGGAATAATCAGGGACAATGGTGACAATAGCTAGATTGAGGAAAAAAAAAAAAAATCTTTCAAAAATTTTGAAACTATCTGTGCCTCTCATTTCATGCACATGTGTAGACACAACAACGTCAACAAATCCCAGTCAGAGGAAATCCCAAAACAAAAAAATCCCATCACAAAAAAAAAAAACAGTTTTTCATATATATATATATATATATATATATATATATATATATATATATATACACAGGTAAAATGAGAACAAACGGAGTATAATTCCATTGCCTGTAACATTTAAAAGATGGCTTAATACAGAGTAGAGATAAATATTATTTATTTTAGAATATTAAAACAAAAACACATTAAAAAAAATCACTACACAATTGCAATTATGTTTCAACACTACAAATGTGTCTCCTCAGTCGGTGGTAAACTGCTGGCGAGTAAAAAACAATTAACAGTAGGCTTGTGGGCTTTTCTGTGATTAACCAATCGAATGTGCTACCATTGAATATTATCCAGATATTAATCTGCACCCAGGGTTTTATCCAATATCACCTTTCCTAACACAATCTCTACTCTCTCAAGTCAATGCATACAACAAATATATCAAGAAATCAAAAGAAAATGGTTGAATCTGCCAGTACAACAATATTTCTACATGTGAAAATATTCTCTTCAAACAAAAAATAATTAACGTAATTTTTCAGTTGAACATATGAATATACAATGGCGTTTCTAAATTCTTCTAGTTGCTAACAACATTTTGTTTGTTGCTTATAGATACTTTGTTTCAATAAATTCATTTTGTTTTTTGCCTTGAAAAAGTCCACATTGGATGAAACGTGTTCGCTAAAACTAGTTTTCCTATTGTGGCACCTTGCATTATTAGAAAACTGAAAAGAGATATTCATAAAAATATGATTTATTTTTATTCGGTTTGTTAACCAGTTGTTAGTTATTTAGAAATGAAGAATAATTGAGTTTTGAGAATAATTCTCTAATAACATTTAGGCGATCCGAAAGAAAGAAAGGGAAAGAAAAAAAAGAAAGAGAAAGAGAAATAGATAGTACAAAACCCGGTCATAAGCAAAACACGCTTAAAACTAACACAAAACAGGTGTCAAAAGATATCTAGGTCAAAGTACCTGACCGAAATCCACGGAAAATAGAAATTGTTATAATTTGGTTGAAGGAATAGAGTTTAGAAATAATGATACGAGACGGGGTAGTGAGTGAATAGGCACACCAGCGATTGATGCATAACAGATGTCGGTCAAGCACCTGACCTACTTTCGTGTCCGCGGAGTATGGGAGTTTGTTATCAATTTGGTTGAAGAAATAAGATTTTAAGGACAATGGAAAAAATATTAATAGGTAACGAACGAAAAGGGGTGTCATTGAGATGATAAGTAACCGCTGAGAAATGTATACGAAAACAAAACATTGGTACACGAACCCTGACCAGTTCTGGGGTTGAAGATAAGAACCTCCCAAGATGATGAGTGGAAAATATTTTCAATTTAGATAATTAAGATTTTGTTAACAGGCCCCGAGCGAAAGAAAGAGGTGAAATATTTGTTTTAGCTCGCGGAAGACGCCGACGGGTCGGAAAAAGTCTTTCCTGGAAATCACATCTAATTAGCGGCGGGCTGTTTTGACAAATGCCAAATGTGAAAGAAACCGGGGTCGTCATTTTCGTGCGAAAAGGACAATTTGGATTTTGTTTTTTTAAGCAAGGTATTTCTCCCCCCCCACCCCAGAACAAAGCCACGGATTGTCCACGCCCGATTGGAGACATCACGAAGGAAGGAGGGAAGATACCGACCAGAGTCTCATTAGCCGAGGGCAGTCACATGATACATGAGGGAGGAGGAGAGACGCCCGACCAGGGTCTCATTGGCCGAGAGCGGTCACGTGATGTGCGAGGGAGGAGGAAAGACGCTCGACCAGGACCCCATTGGTCGAGAGCGGTCACCTGACATACGAGAGGCCAGGGGAAGCGGGTATGCGCCCCCCCAGAGGCACTGTAAGGGAAGTAGGAGGAAAGTAAGAGCGATAATGGGAAATCAGAAATAATGCGACTTTTGGAATTATCAAGAAAACCCTGGCGCCGACAGACCCACCCCAGTTTGTTACGGCGTCAATAAAAGCAGGACCCCAATCGACAGAAATCAGTTGCAGGGCGGATGGCGGGAGACAGTTACAGGCGGACAGGCAGAGAAGTTGCAGTTGAGTTGGGTTTGGCTGCCTCGGGACGAAGAAGAAGTTAACTTGCAGTTGTGACTAGAGAAGTTGGAATCACACCAAGCCTATGAAGAGAAATTCGTCCAAGACAAGTCAAGTGAATAAATTCATCCAAACTCAAGTCGAAGTGAATAAATTCGTCCACCCGAAGCAGAAGAGAAGTTAATTCGCGCACTGACGGCGAGGGAAATCAGCCGTGAACGACTGGTAGAGATCAGCGCCAGTGTCGAAACCAAACCACACCCCGAAATGCAAATTTCTAGAGAACAAGCAACTCGAAGTCTTAAAGTTGTATGATAGAAGCTTGGTGCCACAGTCCACAAAACGGGTCGGGAGGTAGGAACAATTTTGTGTAACGAACATTTAGATATAAAAGGTTGTTACCCTTTTTTTTCAATAATTTTTGACCTCGTGAGTTTTTCTTTTACTTGTGTGTTATCACCCCCGTTGAACCCAGCTGGCATACGGCCCCAACTCCTGTTTGATCCCGTCTGTCTAAGATCTAATCACAACGTGGGTAGGCAGACCGGAGATCAGTGCAGTTACCCTAGAAACCAGGCGTTGGAAGCGAGTTGGGAACGGCGAGGCTGGTATTCATCTAACCAAACGGTTAGAACGTCACACTTGGAGCAGCGAGGAGCGAACAGCTGACGCCGCGGCAAAGACGTCACAACTGGTGCTGTCCGTGACCAGGATATCAGAGCCTGGAGAGCACGCGACGTCACAACTGGTGGCGCGAACGAGATTGAACGACAGAGTCGACGCTGCGACCAGGGGGGGCGACGTCACACTATTGTCTTCTTTCCTTTATACATAGTCTTTTTCTACGAGTTAATTCTAAGATATGTGTGTGTGTGTGTGTTTGTGTGCGTATTCTGAAAGATAACATTATAAATGTAAAATAAATCACATGTTCAAATGCCTCCTATTGAAAAATGCTATGAATTTATTATATATGTGTGTGTATGTGTGTGTGAGAGAGATATTTAGATAGCATTAATTAAAATTACATGTTCACTTATCTTCTCTTCTCAGAGTATCATACAGATTACATGCTTGTCAGCAGGCTCAGAGTAGAGACAAGATAAGTGAACAGTTAACTTTCAATTTTCTATCTCTTGATACTGAGCAATTTATAAAAATTGTTTTCTCTAAAAGTATTATGTTCAAGAAATACCAAAGACAACAGTTTTATGGGTTTTTTGGCAAGCTATAATTTTCAGTTACTTTCCAAAATTCTCTGTGGCTTTTCTATAATTATTTTGCTGGTAATTTATTTATCTGATGAACTTTCTTCTTTAGTATCTCGGCTTTACAAATTTAAGCACAGTACTAGATTGGCAGCTAGGTCTCATCATTTTACAGTTGAAATTGCTAGATGTAACCATATGTTCTACTCCAACAGTTTCTTCTCACTTTTTACTTGTGGAACTCTCTTCTGGCTTTTCATTTTCCAATCAGCCTTGACCTTCAAAAATTTAAATGCAATGTCCATCATCATCTTCTGGCATCTTTGACCCTGGTTCTTTTTTGTCCTCTCTCTTTAATGTTTTTTTTCTCATATTCTTTCACATCCAGTAACCCCATCTTAGTGGTTTTATCACCTTGCTTGGGGTGAAATGATTAAAGGAAAAAAAATATGAATATTAATAATTAAACCTACCTAGGGAAGTGATACCATAAAACTCTGCTTCATGCCGAAGGGTGGGTAGGCTGACTTCCCTGTTAAAAAAAAAAAAAAAAAAAAAAATAGAAATTGAATGTATAGTAGAGTGGGAGGGCTTATTAAAAAATCATTCACATATAAAGCAATGAGGATACTTACCTTTTATAAATTGTAAAGATTCTGTTTATCCTTTTCAAATTATATTGGGTTGGTGCATAATTATCAGCCGTTTTTGTAGGTGAGTCATTTGTTAATAAAAATTTTTGCTTTGTTTACTTTTTTAATAAAAATATTTTATTTTCTGGTTATAAAAATGTGTTTCGATAATCACACGCTCCGGAATAATCATTTAAAAAAGTTATTGTTGAATTATGTTTTTTTTTTTAAAATAAATATTGTTTAAAAACGCCTGATAATTATGTACCAGCCCAATAAAATCAAAACAATATATTTTCAAACAAGAGAAGCGAAACATTTTACACCAAAGTATATAAGCCCTTCAAAAACTATATTAGGATTTCTTAAACAATTGCAACAAATTCTTACAACAAACCTGCACGCTGAAATCTGGTCCAATAGAATAATAAATTCTAATTACAAACCAATGATAGAACACTCACCAAAATTTAAGAAAATTCAATGCCTCTTTGAAAAGATATTAGACCAGGGCTTCCTATATTAGACCAGGGGGTACATTAGGATCAGATAAAAATTAACATTTATATTCATTGTTCCAATCAATAGTTTTCCCATTGAAAGAACTAAAAGAAAATTCATTCTGCCACTGCTTGAAAGAAAATGTCCCCAACCACTACTTATAGTGCTAGGTTCATGTTTACCATTTAAACGTGTGTAATTATTCTCCGTATGACCATCTTTTATCACTCTATAACAGCAAGTGATAATTCTTATAACTTCCTATTCTTTGTAGCTCTTAGCAATGTTTGTTTTTTTACTATCCCTTTCATTCCTTATTCTACCACCCATTTACAAAAGCCTGTTAGATATGTTACTTGCCAATTCCCTCTTGCTTCAGTATGTCCTATGTTTGTCAAATTCTCTTTTCTCATTGTTGTAGCACGCCTACAGATGATAATGGGTATGCCCTCATTCCCATAAATACAGTAGTAAATACTGTATTTTGGTCTGCAGTTGGAGATTCATTGTAGAATTCATTTGACTCCCTTCTAGCAGTTGACTACTACTTCTACAGGCTGCTACTGAATCTTATGTGTTGTTCATGTCCTATGAATTATCATGCATTTCCAACCGTCGTGTGATTATTCTATTCATTAACCTTCCCTAGGTTACAACACACATCATGTGAAATTTCAACTGTTTCTTTCCGATTCTAACTGCCATTTTAGTTTCCATTTTCCTTTAAAATTTCCTCATTACTCACATGGCCCATCCATGGTATTCCCAATATCATTCTGAAAAAACATATCTCTACTGCCTCAAGTATCTCTGTCATCTGTAAGGAGATTCTCTAGCATTTACTGCCATTTAGGACTGATATTACACAACAGTTCAGCAACTCTTATTTGTTTTGAAAATTTTTCTGTTACTATTGTATTTAGTTTCTTTAAGGCATCTTTCACTCTGCCAATGTCCCTTTAGATTTGTGTCACATTTTTTGTCATCCGTTAAAACCCTTTCCAGATAGAATCAAGCAAATACAGATATGTGACTGACATCTCCAATTTGCATCTTGGGATAGCCCTTTTACTAACAACCATAACAGTAATAATTGGTTACCCAATTTTCATTATTTACATTGTTCTGACTGTTGTCCTCATCATTACTGTCATGTTCATGACATTTCAGCTGTGGTACACTGCAGCCTTCTTCAAGTGATTGGAATTTCGAAGTGAACCCTTTATTTCAGCTATCAGGGTAGATTGTTCTAGTTCCACGTTCCATGCCTCTTCCAGATGTCTCAGTTATTAATTCAACTCTACAAGTCTTTTGTCCACTACTGTCATATCCAGGTATTGAACTCACAACTCTTTCACCTCACTGGATCTGAACAATGCTTTTATGCACTGGGCCATATGTCCTTGGCCCAGCGGATAAAAGAGTTGGTAGGATCCAGTCACTTGAACCATTGCAGTTGTGATCAAAAAACGGAGAGTTGAGTTAAAGAGAGATATTTGAGATATCCAGAAGAGGCATGGCATGTGGAACTAGAACAATCTACCTTGGTGGACAAAATAAAGGATTATATTCAAAATTCCAATCACCTGAAGAAAGTCGGTGCATACAACGGCCAATATGTCATTAACATGACAATAAAGATGAGGAAAACAGTCTGAACAATGTAAATTATTACAGTACTTCCTTTTTTTTCTTCTTTTAAGCAAATCATCCCAAGCAAGGTGAGAGTGCCACTAGCACACAAGGGATTAAAGAGAGCGAGAGTTAAAGAGGAGTGTTTGGGAAAAGGATAAAGAGAAGAACAGGGATCAAGGTCAAGGCACTGGAAGATGTTGATTGACATTACATTTGAATATTTGAAGATTATAGCTATCAGGAAAGCAAGTGATAGGAAGGAAGTTCCACTGATGGGAAGTGTGAGCTAAGAAGCTCTTGGAGTAGATGGCTCCAGTTAGCCATTTTGACAGTGAAAGAGTGGGACTGAGATGCCAACCTAGTATCACACTTAAATTCATGCAGTTTGGGAACCAATGAAAGTAGCTCGTCAAAGAAATTGCCATGAAAATACTTGTAGAAAAGACAAGGGGAAGCTGCAGCACGTCTGTGAGAAAGTGACTGTAGACAAGATGCCAGATCAGGACCAATCACATTGTATATCCATCCCTGAATTTTGTTGAGGACCTCAAGATGAACAGCAGGAGCACCAGACCATATATGGCAGCAGTATTCCATAGGATGTATAGTTAATTTGTAGATTTGATGGATGGACTCAGGTGAGAAAAACCTGGCATGACACAGATAACCAACTTTCCTTGCAGTAGATGAAGTTATAGATTCAATACAGTTGTTCCACTTCAGGTCAGTGGATAGCGTGAGACCAAGCAGGCTCAGAGAGGTGCTCTCAACTTGATGGAAGGCAGGGAGGATTCTCTATGGTGGGTAAATGAGAGCAGTTTCATTTTGGAGGCATTAAAGTTTACAAGGCCTTTCCTGCCCCAATCACCCACAGATTGGAGGTCCTTTTCAAGACCTACGGCCAGGTTAGTTTTGTAAGCGATGCCAGATTTACTACCGAGGCAGGAGTAAACAGTAGTGTCGTATGCGTAGATGCCAACTTAGGGCTCAGAAATATAGACAGATATTGGTTACCCAACTGTTAAGCTTGGGTGAGTCTAAAAATAATCAATTGATCAATACTATATAAATATATGCCTTGTTTGAGCTGATTATTTTTTTTTTCCAAGAGCAATTGATTGAATGATTTGTTTTTTTATGGCTTATCAAACCTTTATGGGTTATTTAAAGCCAAAGCATATTTTTGGATTGGAAGAAGAATTCTTTTCTTTTTCTGAGAAAATATTCTATTAACATTTTTTTTTTGAGAATAACAATGATTTTTACTTTATACAAGTCCTAAAATTTAAACCATAGCAGTGGGGAGGAGAGGGATTCAAAATTTTAAGCAAGAGTATTTACATTGAAGTGAATCTAATAAACACAAGTGGAATTCAAAATCTGCTCTTCAATCTCTCATTCTGAGATACTATCCTTTACAACACCCACACATCCACATCCAGGAAGCAAAGTAATGGGTAAAATGTGTTGAGGTACTTACTTAAGGTCCACTTGTTTGGTCCGCAAGAAATTGAGAATGATAGAAAACAGTTTAGGGTCCCGGTCGATAAAAATCTGCCAAAATGAATAGAAAGACTTTAAGAATAAGGAAACAAAATTGGTAGGAATATCAGAATTCAAGTCAAAAACCAATTTTAAATATAGCAGATATTTTATACATTATAATAATAAGTTCTTAAGTGACCATAAAATGACAAGGCCAAAAATCACAATGGGCTTCCTCATGGACGTATGGCATTTTTGGAAATGATAAATGCTATATATGATAGACAGTCTCAGGATTTATTCTCCATGTCTCCAAGTCTTTGTCAAGTTATGATTGTTTGAAGTTAATCAAAACTTGTACAAAAATCATTTACTTTTAGATGATCAGTTCTGGATAATTGCTTTTCTATCTATTTATGTTAGAAAACTCATTGGACTCTTATTGAAATGAATGTTGTAAGTGACAGACAGGTTTAATATGACACTTTTTCAAAATTGACCTATATCAAGTGGATTTGGGTGGGCCTAAAAACACACAATTTGACACATTTGGTTCATTTCCCAAGTGGTATATGCTACAGTCTGAAAGTAGATGGCTTCAGGATTTCAGAATTAATCTTTGTCCCAACTCAAAGTAGTTGTCAAATTATGACTGCTTAATTATATTTAAAGGAAGTAAAAAATGATGCTTTATTTTTTGTTTCAATATACAGTGAGCTTGCAGCAAGCTGGGGATTCTTCTGAAAGGGGCAGAGGAGGAGAAGAGACCCCCCCCACCCATCAAAGTAGATGCTGCATTGTAGTATCTGTTCTATGCCAGAGACATTCTCTCCTTGCTTGCGTTCTCTTCCACCTGTTGCGTGGACAGAATCCTCAGACTTGTTCTGTAACATCTGTTCCATAGCAGGGCTATGACCAGCTTAGAGAACCTATGATCAGCTAAAACCAGCTTGGACCAGAAGCCCGAGTGGAAACACTTGGGCCTCCACATTAAAACCCAACCTTGTGTCTCAACCTGACTCAGTGGTGAGTCAAGATAAATACTGTTCCTGCAACAAGCTGACAGTTGGCTTCTTTTTTTTTTAGCATTTCCCAAGTGATATGTGATATAAAGGGTGTTTCATTAAGAGGGATCAAAGTCAGCACTGTGTTATTGGTGAAAATTTATTTATTTCTCTATTGGATTATGTTATTTAAATCATGGTAATTATGTGTGAAAAATAATATCGCCCAAATGTTGGCCAAATCTGAAAGAAAAAGAAAAAAATCATTAGATGCTTAAACTTAATTCACATTTAAAATTGGTCCAAGTTATTGGAACATCCTTTATTTAGTCTTAAAATAAATGGTCCCAGGATTTCAGAAGTGATTTGAATTTGTTCTAACACCAAGTATTTGTCAAGTTAGGATTGTTTAAAGTTAATCAAAACTCAACACATTTAATCATTTACTTTTAGATGATCAGTTCTAGATAATTGCTTTTTCTGCCTTTTTTGTGTGGAAAGGCATTGGAATCTTGTTGAAATAAATGTCATAAGTGACAAACTTGACACTTTTTTAAGAAAACGATCTTTATCAAGTGGATTTTGGTGAATGACAACACAAAATTGTGTCAAATTAACATTTTTGCCAGATTTTTCCTGTTTTTTTTGTTTTGTTTTTTTTCTCTGAGACCCTCAAAATCAAATAAGACTAGTAAAACATACCAGAGACAAATTTCATTCTCCATTTTAGTGTAAGTTCCAAAACATTAAAACAATTTAAGGATGCAAAATCTAAGAAAATTATGCCTGGGATGATACTTAAAATGTACTCAGTTCCTTTCAGGAATTAAATTGATTATTACCTGTTTTTGGGATCATAAGCTGGGCAATGAAATTTGGTTTTTGACATAACTTTCCTTATGTTTATCAGAAAATCATGATCTAGACCAGGGATTTCCAAACTGTATGTCCCAAACCTTCTGTGGGTCAAGAGATAAATAAAATGGCTTGTGACAAAAAAGTATGAAAGAAAAAAATACTCAAGTGAGAGTAAGGTGTAGATTATAAACAACTCTTAATGTTGAACAGCACTTGCTAGTTTTTCCCAGAGATAAGCTTGTATTATATTTTCTTTTTTTAAATTATGTGTAATTTAAAATATATATATAAAATAAAATATAATACAAGCTTATCTATCTTTTCTTTTTTTAAATTATAATTTAATATATATATATATATATATATATATATATATATATATATATATATATATATATATATTTAAAAATAAAATATAATACAAGCTTATCTATCTTTTCTTTTTTAAATTATGTATAATTTAAATTATATATATATTTAAAAAATAAAATATAATATAATACAAGTTTATCTATCTTTTCTTTTTTAAATTATGTATAATTTAAATTATATATATATATATATATTTAAAAAATAAAATATAATACAAGCTTATCTATCTTTTTTTTTTTAAATTATGTATAATTTAAATTATATATATATATATTTAAAAAATAAAATATAATACAAGCTTATCTATCTTTTTTTTTTAAATTATGTATAATTTAAATTATATATATATATATATATATATATATTTAAAAATAAAATATAATACAAACTTTATTTATTGTGTGTGTATATATATATATATATATATATATATATATATATGTGTGTGTGTGTGTGTGTGTGTGTGTGTGTATGTCTGTTCTCATTGATTTTATGTATCTTGTTTGTCAAGCTTGTTGCGGACTGAGTGACGGAATTTCCTTTAAATTTGTTTTTTTAAAAGTTATAATTTTATATTCATACAAGTAGATAATACAAATAGATACATGAAATTCCAATATGTGTTGATCATAAGTAATATACATATAAATTGTTGATACTAAATAAATGAATCTAGTGAACAGAGTTTGTCTTTGATTTATTACACATCGATATAATGGTTTGCAATGCAAAATGTGGCTCATGCTGTAGGTTGCAGTAAAAAAAAAAAAATTGAAAAATACTGATCTAGACCTCTACTCCTATCTTTTTTGGGTAAAGAATCCATTTTTGGTCACTGAAAGTCCCCCAAAAGAACTCTAAATATATTAAATGTAAAAATTAAGCTATTTTCAAGTAGTTTGGCTAATCACTGCAGGTCAGGATTTTGAGACCTAAACATGCATTTTTTAATTAGAAATGACAGATTAAATGAGTGAAAATAACTGAATAAAATAATCAAACAAAGGTTGGTAATAAATAATAATACTTAGGACAAGAACAACACATATAAGATTAGCCAGCAGCATATAGAAGAAGTAGACAACTACTAGAAGTGAGTCAAGTGAATTCCACAATGAATCTCCAAATGCAGGATATCTACCAACTGCCCCATATGGTCAAGTGTGGCACAAGGCTGAATTTAATGTGGGGTATCCGAGCCCATAGGCTTGGACAAAAATTCCCCGTACACCTCACATAAAACGGGGTCGGGTAGCTGTTTCCTGAGACGAGACTGCCCTTCGACATAGCCTCATCTGGGGATCCTCTCTGCCTCCAGGCAGAGAGTTTGACCAGCACAGCTGGAGACAAATCTCCAAATGCAGACCAACATACAGCATTTACTATTATATTTATGTGAATGGGGACATACCAATTATCATCCGTAGGTATGCTACAACAAATAGTTTAATAATTGAGATGAAAACCATTTGAAGGTTCAAAACCACAAAAGTCCACTTGACTCTGCTGTGAGAACCCACTGTGCAAATATATACAATAATTAGCCGGTCAGGATTAGGTATATATGACTTAGGTGACAAGTTAAACACGAGACACCAAATGCTTAATCTGACATCTGTTTAATAATCATATTGTACTCTTATTCTTAGGCTGATTTTAACACACTTTTGCACCCACCTCACAGCAGATTTCTCTCTAGTGTCTGATTTCATTTCACAAAGACATACTTTTGGTAGTCCATTATTGATCAGAACAAGAGTTTGATATTGAATCATTCAAACTTCAGGTTGGTTAATAATTTACACCATTTTGAAATCTTGTAGTGTAGAATCCAAAATGACCTGATTAAATAAACCTGAATAATGATTTAATGGCAGGATCTGTTGAACAGTTCATATGTAGTATCTTTTGTATGTTACTTATTATTCAGTTTATAATATTACACTTCATAGAAAGTGAAGAAAGAAAGGAAGCAATCACATGTTGTCTATTTTTTCCTGGGTGCTATACAAGTGGAAGGTTGAAGACGTGTGCAAGAGGCATCATTCCTTAGCCTGCTGCATATGCAAATCACTCCACCTAATAAAAATGTTAACAGAGCTTTAAGTTTTCAGCTCAGTACCATAAGTCAGTGATGTGAAAGAGTTACGACTGGAAGCTACTGGAGACCTTATTCTTCTTTGTGCCATATCCCTTCACCACGTGAGCAATCATGGCTCTCCACAACTTCTTTTCCTTAGTAAAGTTTTTTTTACTATATCTCCTAATCCCTGTTCTGCCAAACATTTGCACATTAGCTACATTATGTGCTCCTTTCCCCTATCCCTCTTGCCTTCAATGTGACCTGTGAGTGTCAAATTTTCTAAACCCTCTTTTCTCATTAAGTGCCTCTTTTTGATTCTATATGTAAATGTCCTTTTTGTTTCCATTTTCCCTAAAACTGTGCTGTTGCTCATTGTTCAATTCCTGGTATTCTCAGCATCCTTCTGTAGAACCATATTTCTGATGCCTCAAGTCACTTCTCCACCTGTGAAGAGATGATTCAGCATTCACTACCATATAGAAGCAGCCATATTACATAACAGTTCAGTATTCATTTCTTTGTTTCCAATTAAATTTTCCTGTTTCTTAATATTTTGCTTAACTTTTGGAAGTCATCTTTTGCTATCCCAATGTGCCTTTGGATTTTGGTGTTACATTTTCCATCCTCAGTTAAAACATAGATATTTCAATTGTTGTACTTGCTTGATTTTGATATTTCAAATTTGTAATTCACATGTTGGGCTATTTATTTTGCTGACAACTATATATTCTGCCTTTTTACAATTGATGTTTAGTCCTTTCTTCTCACTTTCCTTTGCTACTTTCTGTAAGAGGTCATGTAATTTCCTTTCTCTATCTGCTATTAACCCTGTGTCATCTGCATATCTAATGTTTTTAAGGTTGTGGCTGCCAATAAGGAATCCTAGTAGAACTTCTAATTCTATCAGGATTCCTTCTCCATAAAGGTTGAACAAGTCTGGTGTAGCAATACAATTTCTCAAACATCCTTAGAAGATGAATAGACAGATTTTTTTTTTTCATTTTAACTCTGTTAAATGGCCGGCATTTTTCAGGAATCTTGACTCCAGCCCACCTTCAAAATGTTGAACATAAAATTTTTATATAACCGTAAACATTTTTAAAAGTAGGATACTTTGAAAGAACTCCATGTGCTACTTCATTCACACAGAGAAACCATAACGAGACATCTGAGAATTTTGCTCAGAAAGTACAGGTAATAAAGAAGACAGCAATTTTAATTTATTTTGGGGATTGACTTTTATTTCTTCTACATTTAAATGTTATAAAATTGTGTATTTAAAATCAATTAACTTACTGCTCCAGTTTCATCCTTTTGGGAAGCGATCCGTCCACTTAACAGACTAGAAATAAGTTAAAAAAAAAAAAAAAAAAAGCAAGTTTTGATGTTAATAAATTGTACAATTTAAAATAATAAAGAGAGTCACAAAACAAAACACAGATGAGAACGACATGAGCAATTGCCAATATTGGGTTGGAGGATTTTATGATATAAAAGCCATTGTTAGGTTAATTTTATAATCATTTTTTTTTTATTACACTGGAGCCTACAGGTAAATACTGATTGGGTTCAGGCCCAAGCCTAAAAGCAAATACTGATTCAGAGCCTATACTGAAGTCTTGAAGTTTAATTCAAGGCCTATTTCTTTTGCATTATGGGAAAGATAGTTAAGGAAATATTTGGTGCTTGTTTAAATTGCTGTTTGTCAGGTCTATATCATCTGAATATAATTTTATTTACTTGATAGAATATGACATAAATTTTCCTTTCCCCATGACTACTGTCACACTGACATCACTATTTCCCCAACCCTATCGCTTTTAGTGTAATGAGGGAGATACTACTGCAGGGACCAGGCACCTTCTCTTGTAAAATTAGAACAGATACTATGCATTGATCCCTGCCTGAAAGACAAATTCTGATTGGGAGCCTATAGGCAAATACTTCATTCAGTCAAACCTATTTTTAAACATTGATCTTAGAAATCGATTGTATACAGTTGATCGTTCAAAAATATCTAAACTGTTTTGACACTATGCATGGCATCCATATGAAACACTTAATCCAATGAGGCTATTTAAGAACATGATGAGGGTTTTTAGGTTAATGATTTGGTTTTGTAACAATTTCCAGTGTTGGCCAAAACTACCTCTAGGAAGTCACCAGAAAAATAGTGAGAGCAGTTTCCCTATTGAAGTTCAAATAATATCACACCGAACATCATTTCTCAGCTTTGAAGCAGGGGTCAATGCATAGTATCTGTTCTGATTTTACAAGAGAGAAGGTGCCCGGTCCCAAGGATTCCAACCCCTGCAGTAGTATCTCCCTCATTACACTAAAAGTGATAGGGTTGGGGAAATATTGATGTCAGTGTGACAGTAGTCATGGAGAACTGACAATTTGTGTCATATTCTATCAGGTAAATAAAATCATATTCAGATGATATAGCCCTGACAAACAGCAATTTAAACAAGCACCAAATATTTCCTTAACTATCTTTCCCATAAAGCAAATGTCCTGGGTATGATGATAAACTACATCTGTGTCCTGGGTAAGATGATAAACTATGTCCAACAGCAAGGACTCTGAACAGGAGGTTTTGAGGAGTGTGGAACCACCTCTTAACTGCTGGTGTTCCCAGGTTTACTCTGAACTGGGGTGGTAGCACCTTTTAGAGTTCAAGCTATGGGTTAATAGTTAACCCACAAACTGGGGATCAAAACATTATGAAAGTGTAAAAATAGGTTTTAGTACCAGAAATACTTTGTAAAAAAATTATGAGCAATAAATTTTTGAAGAAAAAATATTACCAGCAATGCATTTTTGAAAAAAAAAAAAAAAAAAAAAGAAAAAAAAATTACCAACAATAAAAATCTTGTCGGTATTAAATAACCCACTGAGGTTGATATGCATAAAACAAACCAAACCAAACCATAATGCAAAAGCAATAGGCCTTGAATTAAACTTCAAGACTGTTTCAATGACAAAAAGCAAAGTCTGACCAAAATTTAACATCCAAATAAATGGGGTGAAAATTAATTAAATAATTAATTTTTATGTTGTGAGAGAATGAACAAGAAGATGCAGTATGAAAAACAAAGAAGCCATCGATGGGCTACTTTTGTAAAATATAGTGGTATGCTGAAACCAGCAAGGTTAACAATCCACAATAAAATGAAGATATGAAAATGCCACTTACCTTGTAAAAAATGAATCTGGTATCCATGTCAAAGTTTGTCTTGAGGTAGAAAATCTTAAGAAAAAAAAAAAAAAAAAAAAGAAAGAACTTTACTATAAAAGCCATTTAGAAAATTTTGATAATAATTTTTTTGCAATGACTTCAATTAATATGCAATATATAAGACGACCTTTAAATCCCAAAAAAAGGTCACCCTTAAAAATTGGGGGTCATCTTATACTACAATTCTAAAAATGAAACCTTAAATTCTAAGTGTTGTTTGTCAGTAGGCTAACCTCGGCTTCAGTGTAATAACCAATAATGTTCATGAAAAGATACACATTATCAAATAAACTAAAAATAAAAGTAATAAAACCATTTCTACCTTATATATTACTGGCATAACTTCATAATCAAATTCCTATTCAAAGAATAATTCCATATCAATGAAATCAACTTGTATCTGTGCAAACTTAGCTGAGAAAATGTAAAGCAAGTTATGATTGTGCTCACAGCAATGGAATGTACTATTATAATACATTATTGTACTGTTATTAGTGGCATTTTGTGATTGTCAATGGAGTATAAGTAAATGGTCATTAGTACACCAAGCTGTTTGTAACTGTTTAGGAAAAGAAGAGAAAGTATTTATAAAAGATTATGTGATAAAATGAAAAACAAAACAATGATTTCCATTTTAGGGGACATGTATAAGAAAATCATGATATAGAATTGGTTTTGTTATTTCATTTCATATTTGTAAAGATACAGTAAGTAACAACATTTCCAATAACATCATCTTTATATAATCAATAAGCAACTGTCTTATACAACAAGTATAGGATAAATTCATGAAAATTTGCCATTTTTTACCTTGTTTTATCTAAAGGTCACCTTATACACAAGAATATATGGTAGTTAGTAAATATTAATAGATAAGGTTACTTAGTGATCATTAGATTGATTTTGTTTTACTGCTTATCAACCCATTGTCGGTTATATAAAACTGAATCATATTTTTGAATTGTATAAAAAGAATTCTTTTTTTTAATCATTTCACCCCAAGCAAGGCAATAAAGCCACTAGAACACAGAGGTTATTGAGTGAGAATGAATAAGATAAAGGAAAGCATTATTAACGAGGGAGAATAATAAAAGAAGAATCAAGAAAATATTAGATAATTGATATTGTACTTAAATTTCTGAAGATCAAAGTTGACCAGAAAGCAAGAAAAGAAACTGTCAGCAAAGAACTTATAGTTACATCTAGCCAATTCAACTGTAAAATGATGAGACCTAGCTGCCAATCTAGTACTGTGCTTAAATTAGAAAGTCTTGGTACCAAGTTCATCAGAACAATTACCATGGAAGGCAGAAAAGAAAAGGCAGAGAGTGTTGAGTTAATTCCCCTTGGCAAAATAGCAATTTAGAAACAGCAAGATCTACACAGGTGAGACTGCTAAGTTATTTCCATTGGAATAGTTATAAGATTATTATTGGCCAATCATTGAGCTAGCCTCATGTGTGTGCATATATATATATATATATTATATTTTAAGACATTTTTATGTTTATACATTCTTTTTATAGATACAAATATTTAAGTAAATGCTCTGTTTATAATAAACAGTATTAAACAACATATACTGGCCTGAATGACTGAGAAATTTTCGCAGAAAATACTCGTCCTCCAACAGGATTCAAACCTGTATCCTATATTGAACCGTCATTTAGCTTAACGTGCCTTAACTGATTTGGCTACAGAGGAACATTCGGTTAGTAAGGTCAAATTTACTGTCTTTAAACTTCAATCTTCCATGAATCTCTCATGTACATTCATATCCGCTCAAAGCACATCATTGTTCTTTACTATTAATTTTATATATATATATATATATATATATATATAAAATTAATAGTAAAGAACAATATATATATGAAATTTAAAAAAAAAAAATCAAGAGATCAGATGATCCCTCTACCTTAGTTTCAAACTTTCAGTACCTTCAGGCAATTTAGGCTAAATAATTTCCTAACACTTTATTATTCAAAAATAAATAAACACACAAAGTTCTGCATGCTAAATTTTTATTTTATTTTCTTTATACGAGTATTGAACACTTTTTTTATACTACTGTTTTCTGGTCTAATTTGACTCTGATGAATAACATTTTTATAATTATATCTCAGGATGGCCTATATATATATATATATGCCACCCAGAGTGAAGGAGGTGCTCATTTGGAGTGAAGGTGACCAAAGTGAAAAAGGTAAACCCAAGCAGAAAATTAACTCAGGGAAGTGACATTATGCTGATGGGAAAATGACTGAAGTCAGGATGCCAGGTCAGAACCAATAACATTGCAGATTATTTTTTGGATTTTACTAAGAATCTCTAAATATATCACAGGAGCACCAGACTATATGTGACAGAAAAATTTGAAATTAGATTCTGGAGAGAAAAATTGTCTAGCATGACACAGTGAACCAACTTTCCTAGCAACTGATTCAATATAATCTTTCCACTTCATGTCAGTAAAGTATGTTAGCCTGAGAAGTTACAATAAGTCACTCACCTGAAGGTTAGCATCAGCCATGCTGATGGAAAGCAAAAAGGGGTCTCTCAGAGGATTAATAGAAAGCAGTTTTGTTTTGGAGATGTTAACATTAACAAGACATTCCTTGCCCCAGTTAACAACAGATTTTAGGTCACTTTTGAGATCAGCTGCCAATTTGACCATATCGAACCAACTGGAATTACTACAGAGACAGGAATAAATGCAGCATAGATACCAAGTTAAGAGATGAAGTAATCAGGAACGTCATTGATGAAAATTAGAAACAACGTAGGTCTAAGGATAGAACTCTGGGGGATACCTGCATTAATGAAAAAAGGTATTGAAGAGTCCTGTTCATAACTTTCCTTTCGCAATTTGATTAAAAAAAAGATTGAATCAGTTCAGAAATTAATCCAGAAATACCATAAACTTTTGAGCATGTCAAACCCAGTCAAATTCCTTCAAGATATCCAAAGGAACAACTCAACCTTCACCATTCTTATCAAAAACTTGATAGACTCTTTCAGTAATAATCATTAACACATCAGCAGTTGACCTAGAGAAGTGAAAACCATATTGCTTATCTGGAAGAAAACCCAATGATGTGAGATGATTAACAAATTCAGAGTTGATTAGAGCTGCTAGTATTTTGTTTACAAATGAATATTATATTAACAAATTTGCAGGAATAAATATAAATTATATAACAATACAGTCGGTCCTATTATGTCTGGGGGGATAAGAGATGGATTCATACCTTTTCCAAGAGTATTTGCATGTAAGTGAATGCAGTGAACTCAACTGGGATTTGAACTCAACTCTCAGATTTCTTATTCTGACCCACTATGCATTACACCACCTGCACATCCTAGGTTACCTAGAATTATCTGGATAAAAATAATGTCTGAAATCACTATTAACTGAATATTTTCAATTGCTTTTTTTTCTGAATCTCAATGCAGAAATTATATTATAGTTGTTAATCTTCATGAGTTACTCCCCTTGGACACACTCCTTGCTAGGAGGGGGCAGTCTTAGCCAGAAGTGCTGAGCAGCCATTTTTTCACTGGGAATCCACGTAGAGAACAAAGATATTAAAATAAATAATTCTCTTTCAATCATTTCTCAGTGTCTTTTAATTTAAATTCGCAGTAGCAATTGTGGATTTTACAAAATCAAAACTAATGGTAAAAATAAAAGGGTTTTTCTTTAATTCTCATATTAATATTTCTTAATGGTTAATTGTAATTGAAACCATTTTTTAAGGTTTAATTCAAGGTCTCTTTTGTGTTATACAAATGATTGTTAAAAAATAATGGGGGTTCATTTAGATTACTCTTAGGGCTATATAATCTGCATGAGAGAGATATTATATTATTTGACCCCCAATAGAAAAAAAAACTCCTGTTCAATTTTGAACATGACAGCTGACAACACAACAGAAAAGAGGATGGCTGATGACATGTCATCTTGTTTAACACTCTTTTAGATTGAAACAAAACAGCAAATACCAATAACCGTTTTTATAGCAGTTCAAGAACCATCCTATACAGATTGAAGAAAATTCCTATAATTTTTGTTGATGGGAGTCATTTTGAGTAATGACCAAAGCTTATCCAGTTTAATACTGTCAAAATATTTGAAGAAATCAACCCACACTAAAATGGAGATACAACTTATATCTAATGGTCATAAATGTCACCAATATGACACTAAAACAGAAACTAATATCTCACAGTGTGTCATCCTGTGCAGTGACAACTGCACCATTAAAATTTACTAGTTGGATTCAGGGAAATTCCACAGGTGTTAACAATTAAATATACTCTGTCTGTATCTTCTTATTCTCTCCCTTATTCCTTTCAACCTATGTTGCACATCCATGCTTTATCTAAAGCTTACAATAATGTGAATTATTTTCAGGTTTCTTACTGTGTCCCCTCTTTCATTTTTCTTTTTCCCTTTCATTTTATATCTGCTTTCAATCACATGCACATTGTCTCTTGATAACCAGCTAGCCTTGCAAAATCTTTAATCTTCCCATTCTGCCAATATGTTTATTTACTTTTTCTTTTCCCCTGTTTTTTTTTTTTTTTTTTTTTATATCCCTAACTTTTCTTCCTTCCCATCCTTTTTTCCCCTCTCATGTTTCCCAATTCTTTCACACTTTTGTTATCATTGTTGTAACCTAGAAAGGGTTACTAAATCAGGAATAACCAAAATGGAGGTTGGAAATGAAACGGTAATCTTTATAACATCAACAAAATACGATATTCACCAGTGGCATGAAGTAGGCAAAACACAGCTTGTAGTGGACTACTTAGCATATTACCGCGACTTACAATAGTTTCCAACATATTTATGAGGATTGGGACATACCCATTAGTGTTCATGGGTATGGTAGATAACAATTATGTAGGTTTATCACTCAGAAACCATAACATGGACTCAGTGCATCTGTGACCAGACACAGATATTACACTCTGATCTTCAATACAATAAGTATAACTGTTAGGAT